TCTCCAAAGAAGACAGAATAATGGCCTGCAAACATATAAAAAATGTTCAACATCTCTAATCATCAGAGAAATGCAAATCAAAACCACAATGAGATACCACCTAACCCCAGTGAGAATGGCCTGTATCAAGAAATCCCAAAACAACAAATGCTGGAGAGGATGCGGAGAGATAAGAACACTCTTACACTGCTGGTGGGACTGCAAATTAGTGCAACCTTTGTGGAAAAGAATTTGGAGATACCTCAAACAGCTACAAATAGAAATACCATTCATCCCAGCAATAGCATTGTTGGGCATGTCTCTCTATTATAAAGACATCTGCGCCCAAATGTTTATGGCAGCACAATTCACTATTGCACAGTCATGGAAACTACCCAAGTGCCCATCAATTCATGAGTGGATAACTAAAATGTGGTATAGGCTCACAATGGAATATTACTCAATCCTAAGAAACGACAGTGAGCTAGAACTGTTTATGCTATCCTGGATTAAGCTTAAGCCTGTAATACAAAGCGAGATGACACAAGATCTGGAAAATGGGCTACACATCTACTCGCCACCAAATTGGTACTGACTGACTAAAACTATGGTGCTCAAAAAATGGTAGTGTTCAACAGGGATTTGTGGGGGAGACCCACATCTTAGGGAAGTGGCGAGCATTGTGTGGGGGGGGAAGGGATTACCTCTATCCCTTTTTAGGGAGAGGTAAGGATATACATTGTAACCAAAATGTCTTAAAATAAATCTGTTACCAGGAGGTGGGCAGGTGGAAGGGAGGAGAAGGGGAAGGGTATGCACTTACACGGTGGGTGCGGTGCACACCACCTGGAGGCTGGGCATGCTTGAAGCTCTGGCATAGCCGGGTGGGGAAGGAGGGGCAGGGGCAAGATATGTAACCCTAACAATATTTGTACCCCCATAATATGAGGTAATAAAAAATAAGGATTGAAGAGCCTCTGTGAGGTGGGTATTTTTATCATTTTACAAATAGAAAAACTGGGGCTCAGAGAAGTATGATACTTTGTTCAATGCAAATAGCACGCCAGGAACAACCTCAATATGTTGGTTCCAAATGCATGCTCTAGCACAGTGCCATCATCTAAAAAGACCATGGCCTCATCATTTCCCTGGTGATAAGAATCTCATGGCAAGTTCATTTAAGAAAAAAAGAATAAAAATACCTGGGCTGAATAAAAATACCAATACCTGAAGAATTAGAATTTCTAGGGAAATGGGTGCTGATCCACGTATATAACAAGTGTCCAAGTGATTGTTATTATCAGGGAATTTTGAGAAACAATTTTATGTCATGATGCCTTCCTAATAAAGTGCTTTTACACAAATTGTCATCTTATCTGAACATAAACTTGTGAGGCTGAGGGCACTTCTTTGAGAGAGAGGTCCTCTGAGAACATAGGGTCTCCCTGGCCTGTCCCCCTCAGGGAATCCACATCTGTAATTGTCACCTGCAGGATGTGACCCCCTGTAGGACATACCCCTCCCTAATGGAGCGAGAGCTCCTGTGGGCACCTCTACCCAGCAGTTAATGCCACTTTGGGTTTTATTTACCAGCTAGTCTCATCAGGCAGTGTGAGCTGAGTGTGTGTCTTTCAAGCTTGTGCACCAGCATCCAGCACCGAATGAACATCAACCTACTGTGAGTGGAGAATAAAGGCTAAATGAATGCTCAGTGGCAGTGAAAATAATAATAATAAAAATGTCAGCTGACATCTAGGAGAAAACTCAAGTTTGCAAATTTCTTTTATTTGCTTCCTTTATTCAGTCAATAAACATGGACCTTCTCCAGTTGGCCAGGCCCCTGGAGGAGCTGAGGACGTTAACAGAGATAAAGTATGGCCTCTTTCCTCAAGGAATAACTCCATCTCACAGAGCTCTCCAGCAACTTTTTGAAATTATGAAAGTATTTTTGTATTAAAATAGGAAAAGAAAAGAAGACAATGTTTTTTATATATATACACAGAGATATATATACCCCCCCACATATATATACATATTTAAATCTAGGTTATTTCAATGTGGTGGTGTCACTCCTCAGTAACAGATGCTGATGTAAAATAAAGGTTTCTCTGACAATTTCTTTCCCAGTGGCTTATTCTTCCTCAAATACCCCATGATGATAACTTTGAAAAGATTTAAATTAATATTTGTGGGAGAGATGACCCAAAAAGTTCATGAAAACAAGCACCATTCCTGAGGCCTTGGATAAGGATGTTTGGATCCAAACTGTGTTGCCACAACTCCTGAAGAGCTCTCTCTGTGGGGAGGGCTGTGTGGCTGCCTGAGCCCATGCACGGCCACACGGTGGCTGGGGAGTCTCGGAGGAGAGTGTCCTCCCCTCAAAGCCCCAGTAAGGAGCTGCAAGGGGCCCGCTTGGAGGTACCCTGTGTGCTGTGGGGCTTGGGCACACAGTATGGCCACTGATGTCCAGCTTCCACCCAGAGAATCCTTGGGGCCAGAGAGCTGGGGCCCTGGTGGCAGGGCCTAGGGAGTTGATTTGCTGGGCTCCATGTGCATCAGCAGGGCGGACCTGTGTGAGAGTGGCCCTTGGGCCTGATGCGGGCGGGATGGAGAGCCTGAGGCTGCCCAGAGACTGCTCAGGAGGCTGCCTGGAAGGGTTGCGGGATTCCTCCTCAGAGCCCACGAGGACAAGATTCTAGAACACCAGGGGCTGGGTGCTGGTGACGGCTCGTGCCTGCTGGGCACCTTTCTGAGAAGACTCTATGAGAGCAGGGGTAGGTTTACCCGCTGCCAGCCCAGAGGGCAAGGCCACTGTGGGATAGCACAGGCCATGTCAGAATATGCCCATTCCTGCTGTGAATCTGTGCTCCAGCGGGAGGCTCCTGGATAAGTCAACGATTAGAGGGGACAAGGTGTGGGTGAGAAAAAAAGAAGCATTCTACCTGGGAAGAGACCCGAGTTGTGCTGGTTCTCTGTGGCTGCACAATTTTAATTAATGAAGTGAGGTTTTGCTTGCTATGGAAAGTCCCTATAGGACTTTGTGTTACCTGGGAATGATCAGAAAGTGTGCTGTGTTCCCTGGCACAGAAAAAAGATTCCCTGCAGGATGCATTTTAAGGGGACAATGAAGGTCTGGAGTTGTTTTTATGATTAGGCTCCACTGAATGGATAGCTTTGTGCGCCTGTTCCATCAGAAAGAGCCAGCTACGCACGTGCTGATCAGAACCCAGGGCCCACAGCAAGTGTGGAGGGGGGAGACATAAGCAGCAACGGCTTCAAGGATCGTGTAGTTACTCACCCTCACGTCAGTGGGATGACATCCCTTGCAACACAGGTGGTTAAAAACAATCTTACAGGAATGGGATTTGGTAGATGCTAGCAGCAGCAGAAGCAGGATCGCTCTGCTTCATGAGTCCCTGACATGTTTTTAAGTTGGGGTGAGAGAAATGGAATTAGGAACAGAAATCTGAATGTCTGTGCAATGTTCGAATGAATCAGACAGAAGGAACTGGTCATATTCTATGAAAGGCCCTTTTCCTACTTGGGTAACAAGGCTACTAGATCACAGTCCTTTATTTACTTGTGAGTCTACTAATGAGACTACATTCTTGAGACTCATTTAGGATGACTGAAAAAGTTATGTTTGCCTTTTGTTTGGGATCTGTAAGAAAGTGTGTCATTTAACTCTGTTTTTGAATTCTCTAGGATAGATTTCAGATAGTGAGTTTTCTTGCCTGACTCTAATTTCTCTTTTATCTAATGCCCACTCCTATCATTAAATTGTTTTAATATTCCTTCACAAATCTGCAGTCATTACATGACTTCTCACGTAATCAGAAGTCATCTGTACATCAGATTTGGTTGATTCAGAAATGGTCTTTGCTCATTTTATGGCCCAAAGCCTTCTCTTGTTCTTTTCCATTTCTCTTTAATATTCTGACCCTCAAATTTTATCTGAATTGGTCAATTCATGTATATACTTAAAATGCTTAAACATTTTTGTTCTCAATTAATGTACATAGTAGGCTAGATTTCGGCTCTAATTAATATATAGGCTTAGTTACTTAACAATGAAGCATATGTCACTTTCTACCACGAATCTCACAGGATGGTTTCCTTTTTTGTTTCCACTTGTCAAGGATCATCTATCCATTTCAGATAGTTTGTATGAAATGGGAGAAAGTTCTAGTCTAGGCTATAGAGCTCAAATTAAGGCTCATCCTTTAGTTACCTATTTATAAATAATTTTAGGTTTCCAGTGTTTTAGTTGTAATATTTTCTCATTATTTAACTTTTTAAAGATTATAGGCAGTAAGTCCATGACTTTGAGACCCTCTGAATTGTAACTAAATCAAAAATAGTCCAGGGAACTTAGAAGTATGCAAAAATTTTTTGTTGAATAAAGTAAAAGAAAGCTAAATTTCTCCACAATAAGTATTAAATAATTATTGGCTGGATGATGACTCTTTTTTTTGTAGACAAGAGAACAGAAGTGCAACACAAGTACACTGTTAAAGACTCTGTGTCTTGTCTCAAAAATCCAATAATAAAAACATAAGAAGATTTTGAAAAATACAATAATAAACAGGATGAGATTTCCTAAAGATTTTATTAGATTTTGGAACCTAAGTTTATTGCTTGATAACATAAACTGGAATGGTTACTGCTTTTCTCAAAGAAAATTTAGGGAGCTAGATTCCTCTATGCAAGCACAGAAAAGCCACTTGCTCTCATACACTTCCACTAAGAACTACATGAAAACAAGTAACCTTCATAATATGAGCAAGCCAATTAGAAACTCAGCCATGAGCCTCTTTCTCTCCTTCTGTCTTTCATTTTCCTCAGTCCCACGCACTGCCCTTTGGTCTTCTTGTACGTCAAAGCATATATGCCTGTCTTGGAGCCTTTTTACCTCAATGTAATGGGCTTTACATTAAAAAACATCATGGACAGTTGGAAAAGGAAAATGATGACTCTCTATGGTTCTATTTGGCTTGATGATGGGACAAATGCTTACTTGCCTCTTTCACAGAAACCCAGATAATATATGATGAAACAATTTTGATGATGTGCAACTCCAAAATCCACCACATGAACACCTGCAGCTTGTGAAAATACTCCAGGAATTTTAAGAACAGCACAGTGAGGCGGTCAATCACAAGATGCCATTTGTTCCTTAAATCTGCAAAATAGTAAGTACACCCAAGAGCATAAAATTTTTTGTATTATTATTTACAGCATACCTTATAACTTTGAAGTTGGAATGAGAAGCTTCAAAAATTTACAGTGGATAACAAAATCTGGACTAAGGGTGGTCTAAGAATCCCAAGTCAGGACGACACAGGTATCATAAATTGAGGGACAAGGCTACTTTTATCTACCTTTTAATTAAATTAGTATAAAGAATTTTGGCCTCGTTCACTCTTAACATTATAATCCCCTCATTTTCTGAAAATATTAAGTAACCTGAGCTCTCTCTAGATGACATCATTGTTGCCAAAACAGCACTTTTATATGTCGCCAGTCTACTTTGACAGAGTTTGATCAGTGAGTGGATAAGCTCTCCAGTGTTCCTGGAAACGCTATTCAGAACTGCGCACAGGCGGAATCGCCTGCTCCTCGACAGAATGAAAAATGGACACCAAGTATCAGAATGACACAATCCACAGTTTCATGAAATGTGATCAGATTCATTCTAATCATAATTTTTAATCAAATATGTCACTATTCTTTCCACCTTGGGCTAAGTACAGGGGTCATGCTTCTGTCTAGAAGGACTGTGCTGGCTGATTTGATTGAAAGTTACAAGAGGACTGTTTTGCATTATCAGCACGCCCTCACGTTTGGAGACAAAAGCTCCTAAGACTAGGCTGGACCTAAATATCTCCTTAAGTAGCTTCTTTATCTGGCTTGGGTAGTTATAACAGTTACCGTATTTGCTTCCAAAAGTTGTTAGGTTCTTTTTCCTACTTTTCTTCCTACATTTGAAATAATATTTTACTAGGGCAGTGCAATTTTTGGTGTGATCCTGTTAGTAAGCTGAAAACCCACCTCAAAGTAGTATTAACAAAATCCTAGTCTTAATTACTTGGTCCCATAGAGCTGGGCTTTCCCCTTTACTCTGAGGAATGTACATTGCTCAGACACGCAGAGAGCATTTCTGGTCCTCTCCTGAGATGTTCTGAGATGAGCAAGAGAAGGGGACCAGGCTTTGGGGAAGCTTGCCTTTGAAGGGATCTTCTACCTCATTCTGCTTTTTAAATTTTTTACTTTTGTAAAGCACAGAGAACCAACAAAGACAAATGCAACATCTTACTGTCACAGTCCCAAAACATCATCCCAGAGGTGGTACTCTCTGGCTTCTCCCATACTTTGTGGTAACTGCTAAATGGGCCAAGATCTCTGCCTTTTATATTCCCTGTCACATAACATTTCCTAATCACCAAAAGTATTCAATTCTCATCATGTCCTATTAAAACATTATTTCAAGGCTAGAAAGAAAAGTAGGAAATAAAGAGCCTAAAGAATAAGGAGTGAACAACGATGACAAAAACATCTCTAGAAGTTTGCTTGAAAAGGTAATTATCCAATAGCTAATTCTCTCCCCCATTGCCCATGTCCTTAAGGATTAGAACAGAATTTGAAATATATTCTTACTGGTTTCCTGGAAAAGCCTCACAATGGCTTCTGGAGAATGTCTTTGTAAAAATGATGTCTAGAACTTACAGAGATTTTGCACCACGACTTGTTTCTGCTTCTGGTGGGAAACGCTCCTGCCAGAGGCTTGCGCCAGACACATGGTCAGAGCCACACCTCATGCGTGTCCAGACAGAAGCTCCACTGGGGGCCAGTTATTAGTGCCAGCTGTCTGCTCTCTTCCCCTCAGTCAGAATCAAGAGAAAATTACTGGAGCAATTGGAACAAGAATATTATAACTATAGCAACCAAAAGAAAAAATCTCCAATTTTGATCTCATGGACTGGGTCTAATATATATCCTTTCCGAACAAGTCAGTGTTTCCTTCACTCAGTCTGGCAGCCTGCATTTTCTGGGCAACTGCTGGTAGGGGCCGATTACCTGATGTTTCTTCCTCTTCCTCTGACTCCTCTTCCTCTCCGTCCTCTGACTCCTCGCTGTCTTTCCCAAGCTCGCCCTTCTCGGCCTTTTCAGAGCATCCCTCAGGCTTCTCCTCCCTGGGCTCAGCCAACTTCCTCACTTCCGGCTTCTCCAGGCTGGCGGCCAGATTCATCATGGTGAGGTCCGGGAGGCTCCCTTCAGGGTGGGCCAGTCTGTTGGCAGAGAGCAGCTGAGTCAGAAGGGGAATGGGGGTCAGGAGAGGTTGGAGTGAGGGGCACGTGAAAGGAGGACAAACAAAAATGAAATCGGTGCATGTACAAAGACCTCGTGAGGTGGGGTGTTAGCATCTTGTCACTTTTTTGTTTGTTTTAAGTTCTTTCCTAAAACAAACTGTAAACTCAGTTAAGTTTTGTTAGCTCTTCTAACTCAAGTTCTAGTGATTAGTTGGCAATGAGAGCTATTGACACCTAAACTTGACATTTTTCCCGGAGGAGAAAATGGTCAGAGTTTAGGATGTAGAAGCATGAAATGGCATCGTGTAGAGTAAGCATTTCATGGCTTCACAGGGGGACTTACTCATTTTGGTGGATTGGTAATTTTTTCTTGATGCTGCTCAAAGTAATTGAAATAGAAAGGAAAAAAAAGGAGATGAGAATAGAAGAATTATAAGGAATGTCAGAGATCACATATCATGCTACATATCATGTGCTATCGCATTCCTGTACGCTGGTTGCAGTAACGCCCTAACGCCAAGTGCATTCCAGGATGGCATTAATAGCGCGCTTTGCTCTGAACTCTAGGCTTGGCAACCGACTTGAGAGTGGACAGGACCGCAGGATTGTAAATGAGAGAACATGTTGAGACTGCTGGGCAGCTTATTAATACATCATGCTTTCTGAGTAACACAGCAAACCATCTTACAGGAATCAAGTCATTCACATTTTAAATAAGTTTTCAAAAAACTCTTAAATATTGTGTGCTCTCAGTCAACCTTTGCATAGAGTAATTCCACGCTGCCATTATCTAAATCCTATGCCATGGAAGCTAAATGCTTTCAGGAGCGAGACATCTGCATCATGTCCCTGCCTGGGTGTTACTGATGAGGACCGTGAGACCCTGAGCTAGAGAGGGAATGCAGGAGAGAACACTTCTGCTGGGCCTCACCGAGGACAGCAGCCTGGGATGTTACAGTTTATTTCGCAGTGGACAATAGCAAGTATGATCCTTCTCCTACATTTTAAAAAAACTCTATCCTTTTATTCATATTCAAATTAATGTTTCAAAGAATATTTGGGTGCAATAAAATGCATATCAGGAAAATTCCACTGTAAACACTGATAATCTTCTCCATTTATAATAGTTAATCCATAAATGTTCAACATAGTTGTAACAGGACAATTACCATTCTATCTGTATGATTCTGAGCTCTGAATAAACTATTTAACCTTTCTGACATTTGATTAGTTTTCTATAAAATGATGAAGTTTGGCTAGATAAAATGGATAAAATGTGAGCTTACTTTCAATTTGTTGATTTTATACTTGAAAACACACCTATCATTTTGGGTAACTATTGTAACGAATCTACATTGTCCTTAGATTTTTGGAGAGGTTATTGCTCAAAAGTAATTCCATTTAACAGGGTGTCCAGCAGGTAAATGATAGCATGCCAGAAACAAATTGTTAATTTAATGGAGAAAGAGCATCTGAGGATAGTTCAACATTGGTGGAAGATATTATGCTGACCTATGACTTCCTCATCTTCCTAAGCTAGTCAGTTCACCCTCCCGACTTCAGGAAAGTCAACCACTCTTGAAATGGCAATACCCATATCCTCCACCCCAGTGCCACACAGCGAATCTCAGGGTGCATATTTGCTCCTCCTGCTTCGTTAAGACTCTACATATTAAATGTCATTAAACGTAGAAGAGGTCAGGTGATGCACCACTGTCAACATGAATTTATTCTCTTCAGCACTGCCAGAGGATTGATTGCGTTTTATAAGTGAGACGGCACCTTTCATTAGAATAAGGAATTTGGTGGGTTTTCATGTGGAAGTGAGACTATTTCAGAGTGCATTTCAAATGTCTACATTGACACTGATGAGACTTCACACTGACAAGAAAACAACTTCCCAATAATTTTACTGTGATTTATGGAGCAAAGCCCAAAGAGAGGAGGAGGTTTCTGCAGCTGCTTCTGTGGCTACATAGCAAAACATCCTAGAGCAAGATGCCCCCAAACTGCTATGCTCCAGGCAAGCATATCAGGGAGAGACTGTTAAATGAAGGAGTCAAAGGAAGACACTGGCGAGAGTCTCTGGGAAGAAGGTCCAGAAGACCTGCTTCTAGAAACTTGTAATGGTACCAGGTGGAGCTGGGGATAGAAGGGAAGGGACACTCTGCTGCTCATTCCCCTCTGACCTGATCCTTATAAGGAAACAGGGCAGGTAACCCCCAGATGCCCTCTGCAGCCGTCTAACCTCACGAACTTATAATGGATGACAAAAAAAAAAAAAAAAAAAAGAAAAGAAAAGAAAAGAAAAAAAGGGAAAAATATGTACAGGCTGTCATTTATACTAGTCTAGGAGCGTGTTAACTACCTGAGAAATTTCAGTGAGTTGTACATGGTATTATGGAAATCTGTGTGCATACAACATGTACAGATGAAAATATTTAAATGCATGAATGAAGCATTCTGTTTTAAAAAGACATTAGTGTGAGTCCTTCCTTTTTTTTTTTTATTCATTTCTATCATAGCTTTTTTTTAAGGCATTCATTTCATTTATTCCTTTCCTCTTTCTCCTGCTTTTGTTGCTTTATTTTCTTTTACAATCTCATTATGTGCCCTAAACATGCTGCAGTAAATGTTATCATTGTTATTAGTCCAGGTATTTTTTAGTAGTTTGTGGTTTGATCTTTAATAGGTTTCTCAGAATGTGCTAATGGGGACATAAGCTATGCACCTTGCATGTTCATATATACTTGTCTGAGTCTTTATAATTGATGGGCAGTTTGCTTGCATATAAAATCCTGCCTCACAGTTCTTTGCCAGAATTTCTTAAAATACTACTGGTACTGTATTGTTTTCTGCTATAAAACCTTGCTGTGAGAAACCTGATGCCAATTTGATTGTTTTATAAATGACTCAGTTTTCTTTCCAAATGCCCAAATATATTTTGTTTACCTTAAAAGCTAATAATTTTTCTAAGATATATCTCAAATTGGAGAATACTGAGTTGCACTTTATAGGTACACAGTTTTCCCTTTCAAAATTTAGACCTGTATTATTTTATATTTTGGAAAGATTTTCTTTATTATAGCTTTAAGAATTGATTGTTGTACATCTTTGGTACTCTTCCCAGTGTCTTTTAATATGTGTATGAGAAATCTCTTTTGCCTTTCTTTTATTCCCACCATTGTTTTTTTCTTTGTTTCTTCATGTCTGTTTTATTATTTCACTCATCTTTTTAAAATTTTTTTATTTATTATTTTTATTACCTCATATTATGGGGGTACAAATATTATTAGGGTTACATATCTTGCCCCTGCCCCCCTCCCCCACCCCGCTATGCCAGAGCTTCAAGCGTGCCCAGCCTCCAGGTGGTGCGCACCATGTAAGTGCATACCCTTCCCCTTCTCCTCCCTTCCACCTGCCCACCTCCCGGTAACAGATTTTTTTTTAAGACATTTGGTTACAATGTATATCTTTGCCTCTCCCTAAAAAGGGATAGAGGTAATCCCTTCCCCCCCACAATGCTCGCCACTTCCTTAAGATGTGGGTCTCCCCCGCCAAATCCCTGTTGAACACTACTGATTTTTGAGCACCATAGTTTTAGTCTGTCAGGACCAACTTGGTGGCGAGTAGATGTGTAGCCCATTTTCCAGATTTTGTGTTGTCTCGCTTTGTATTACGGGTTTAAGTTTAATCCAGGATAGCACGGTGCTATCATAGCCTTTTTAAGAGGTGATAAAGAAGAATGTTAAAAGCATGGGTTTGGGAATTAGAAAGACTTGAGTTCAAGACCCAACCAGACATTTCCTAGCTAGCTGACGTGGCAAAACAACCTAACCTGCCTTTTAAGACTGAGTTTGCTGCAACAACAGTGTCTACTTCACAGGATGTTGTAAAAATTAAGGCAGAGTCTGTTATGTAATTAATACAGTGCTTATTACACAGGAACAAATTTAAAGTAAGAACCCATCCTCTAATAATAGATTTTCATATACTAGGATTTGATAACCTGTATCATAAATTCATCCAAATGAAAAGGCAGAATTAAAAATGTGCTTTTGCAAGGGGCCACACAAAATGGGCAATAAGGAAAGTGATTAGCAAATTCTTTAAAAGAACTTGCCTATTTTATAAAGGCCATAAAGTGGAGAAAGAGCAAACATTTCTTGCTTGGGAATCTGTCTCCCAACATTCAATGTTCTGCTTTCTGTGTATAACCTCTGACTACAGCATTCACTGGGGGGGGGAGGGGAGAGCTGAAGAGGTGGAGCTGCACAGAAGCAGAGTTCAGAGGGAGCCATCTGCAGGTGCTAGAACAAACAGTTGTATGGACTTTGGGGAAAAGCCTGTGCACGTTCATTCAGCTCCCCTCGCAATAAAAAGGATCTTGATTTTCCAAAAAACTAAATTTAAAAACACATGAGTAAAAACAGTCCCTGAAACTTCAGGCTACAGAAGGTACAATAATTATAATTGCTTACGGGTCACCACATGTGAATCACCTAATGATCATATGAAGAATTTTTACTACATAGGTGGTCATGGATGAACTGGTTCTTAGAGAAGCCCCTCCCCCAGAGCCCGAGCCAGCACCGTGTTCTTATGCCTTCCGCCACTCTGAGTTCATTTTCTTCTCTTTGCAGTTTGTTTCACTTCACCAGTAACTTTATTTCTTTGCTTTTATTATGTTCAGGCTCTGCGCTCTAACCCTCTCACTGACTATTTCTTAGGTGAGACGGCTCTCTGCTTCCCGTTCTAACAAAGCAGATGACATCTGTCTGTCCGTTCATCCGCTCTTTCTCGAGCTTCTGCAGCTTTGTGCAGCCTGCACGTGTGCGTTTCCACACTTGTATCCACACCGTGTCATTCTGAGTGTGTGCTCTGGGGACTTTCCTGGTGAAGACAGCAACGCAGTCTTGGTCTACTCATCTCCCTCACAACATGTAGCCTTGTGCCTGGGTACACACGACTCAGGGAATGCTGGGTGAAGAAATTCTATACACTGCAGAGGCATTCTTATTTGAAACAGAGGAAACAAATTGTGTGACATGGAGCACTGAAAAGCTTCTTATTAAGCTAGTTTCCATTAAAGAAAATGGAATTTCTACCATTTTAAGATCTCCTTAGTCTAAATGCCATTTATTTTTAACTATTCCAATTTGGAAATGTGGTAATGTAAACTGCACTCACCCCATTATCATTAGAATATTAGAAAAAAAAGATGTTTTACACATTTGTAGTGTTTATAAGTAATATTTAAAGTAGAATATTTTTACTGTTTAAAGTAAATTATTTTATAGGCCAGGCACGGTGGCTAAAGCCTGTAATCCTAGCTCTCTGGGAGGCTGAGGGGGGAGTATTGCTCAAGGTCAGGAGTTCGAAACCAGCCTGAGCAAGAGCGAGACCCCATTTCTACTAAAAATAGAAAGAAAGAAACTGGCCAACTAAAAATAATATAGGAAAAATTGGCCGGGCATGGTGGTGCATGCCTGTAGTCCCAGCTACTCAGGAGGCTGAAGCAGGAGGATTGTTTGAGCCCAGAAGTCTGAGGTTCCTGTGAGCTAGGCTGACGCCACAGCACTCTAGCCTGGGCAACAGAGTGAGACTCTGTCTATAAAAAAAAATAAAAAGAAGAAGATAAACTAAATTATTTTCTAGAATTTGTAAGCACTTTTAAAAGATTGTATTCACACATAAGCAATTGGTTTGTGAATTTAATATCACATCTTAAATATGAGTGTTAGTAACTTCTACAAATAAATCTGCTAGGCAGGACTGGATACAATGGCTCCAGTTTCTATATACAAGGAAAGAAAAAAAAATTGCTCTTGTTAAAATATTCTAATTTATACTGTTTACTAAATCAGTTGAAACATCCCCATAATTATTGATATTATTAAAATTTTATCACAGTTACCCACCATCCTTAATACACTCCTCTACCCTATACCTGGTAAGGTAATATCTAGATTTTAATCAACCCATAAGTTAAATTATAGATATGTCCCTCTTTTAGTTCAGAACTAACATTTGTAAACATATTCTTTTTTTTATGAAACAACATTGAGCATACAGAAATAAATTGTGGGAGAAGGAAAGCTTATTTATTTTATAAAAAGATTCATCCTATCATGCTAATGAATAGTAGGCCCTATTAAAAATCTGACACAATTTACGGTCCGCATTTTAGAAGCATATGTTGTAAAATGAGAGGTTTGTTTGATAATGTTTTTTGTTGGGGACATAGCTCTGGCCTCTCTTAACATGTTAATATTCGTACAAAAATGAGAGAGTTCAGTAGTAAAGCTGGAATGTTTCAAGTTGTTAATTATTTTGGGTGACTTTGAACCTTGATACTTCTAAGAACTCCTGGGTGAATTCGCTGGTCTTGTGATTTGGGGTAACAGGAATAAGCTTCCTCTCATGAGATGTCTGGAGCTATTGGGATCCAGACTTAATCCAGCATAGCTCTTGCCCCCTTTTCTGCCTAAGCCATCCCCCCACAAAGCAAATGGTAAATGCTTTATGAGAAACACAGAGAGGAAGAGAGGGAGAGTAGTTCCTTATGTGTGGAGGGATGAGATTTAAATAGTTACTTAAGATTTCTGTCTAGAGTCTATATCTTATTTCTCTATTAGCTAAAAACCTGAAGCTGACATTTTTTACTTAGGCTGTCAAAAACTGGCCCCCACAAGAAAATTATCCAGTTCTCATTCATTTCTCCTCCTTCTGCAATCTACCCGCTATCTTTTTCACACTTCCTTCTAGAAGTTCTGCCTCCTAGAATTTGCCTTTTGGTTGTCTGCCTTAGGAGTTTTTACCTAAGGGAAAAGTGAATTAAATAGAAAATCAACAAATCTTTTGAAGAATTATTTTGTTAATTAGATTTATTGCAAAATATGTTTTCTATTACCTCAAGTACTAGTTTTATTACTAATGATATGACCTTATAGGAGTGAGTATTTTAAATTACCTACTTAGTAAAGTAAGAATAGTTTTACTAAATTAGATCCCAAAGGATTTTTATCTCTGTTCTCTTTGGGCACTTTGAGGATAACTCTTCTTCACTCAACACTTATCAAGTTTGCCTTTCATTTTGTGTGGATATTGCATGTTTTATCTCCCCACCTAGGTGACATGCATCTTAAAGTAGGTCCATATCTCAGTGCCATCTTGGTGCCTTTTGTGGTATGTAAACATATGAAATCTGATGATGTAAAACATCCTTCTTCAATAACATGCTGATCTTTCAAGTAGAGATACACTTGAAGAAACTGATGGTTTTTACAGCACATATTGTTGTGAGTACTTTCACGTCATTCAGGACATATTTACTGAACATAATCTAATAGGTAAGGCTCTCCCGTAGGTGATATGGTGGCATCTTGGTGGAAGTAGAGGGAGTCAAGACCTGAGGAGGTTATGCCTCTAGCAAGGGAGATAAGACAAGCAGGCACACAGCGGACTGAAAGGCAAGTGTCAGGACAGCAGCGAAGATAAAACGCTACAGGGATTCATGGGAAGGGCAGATTACTCTTAGCAGGGAGGTTGGCATTTCTGGGAGGGTTTATGGAGGAGGTGGTTCTTGAGCTGAGCTCTCAATGATGTGTTTAAGAGGGAGATGAGCTCTCACGCAAGCATTGAACGAATTCTACCAAATAACAAAATGAAGGGGGCTTAAGTATGAACTAAGACAAAAGGCTGAGCACCAGCTGAAGACCCTGGACAACCTCCACACCCACTCGTAGCACCATTCAGTAAAAATACCAAATGGTTCGGTTTGTGAAACACATCCATGAGCATACCTGACGACCACCATCCACAATCTGATGACACATTTTTCATTTATAAAGCAGTTAAGAGTTTTAATAATCAAGAAGTAGTTTTTAACCAAAACAAGAGAGAAAACATTGAAGTACCCACCTATTTATTATTAGATATACGCGGCCATTGACTTTGGCATGGCTACGAGGTGAGACATGGAAGCACAGGATGCAGTGAGGAGACAGGGCAGAGAGAGAGAGGAGACTGTTAGACAGAGGTGAACGAAGTAGACTCTCGCAAGCTTTCTATCATGAGGTGCATCATCACCCGCAGGCTCCACGCCTTGACAAAGAGTCTAGACAGCAAGATTCAGTAGCAACAAAAAATTAGACATACTCAGGGAAAATACATGAAGATAACAAGTCTCTTCATCCTTCTCATCACTCCCCATCTCATACACTTTATTAGGAATTTGTCATACTTAAATTTTTCAAGGTATATTTTATCAAGAAAGTATAATTTAAAAGATTGAATTTTGCTCCTTCCTCAGAATTAAAAAAAAAATCCTACTCAGTAACCATATTCAGCATGCTATTCTCTAAGGTTTTCTAAAATTGACAAAAAAATAGTCATTTCATTTCTATATGCATAACGATACTTTCCAAAACAAGCCATGTGCAAATGAAAGTGATATAAAAGTAATAGATATTTAAATGGTTCTGGAAAATTATTATTAATTATATAACAAACATTATAGTTATGTTCTACTATTGTATATTATTATCAATATATACATGAAAGGATATTCCCAAGATTGCCTACGTAGAAATAATAACAGTTTCTTTTACATATATTATAAAACTTTTTCATAATGCTAACTTTTTAAACTCTGTAAGGCTAAACACAATAAATTCTGCTTCATGCACAAGTGACATGTGCCTATACTACAAGTATGTGTGCATGCCCATACACACACAGAAAAGCGGACAAAACAGGAATAGAACAGGTGCATATTTCCAGAAACAATAGTGCATAAATTAGTTTAATAAACACAATGAACCCGTTATTGTTATCTCAATCCCGGTTATCCCAATCTATGGCCACATTTTAGATAGCATCTCCTAAGGAAGTGGTAGCAGAGAAGCAAAGCGTGACAGCCAATCTTGACTCTGAAAAGATTTCTTTTTCCTCATCATTTTGATTTTAATGTAGTTGTCATGTCAGGACTCCAGGGACAAAAAATACTGCAAGGTGAAAATTATGAGTAAAGAATATACTACAATGCAAAAGAGTTGCTAAATGATTAGATATATGTCATATGTTCAAAGTTAAAATTTGGGGACTCTTATATCAAACTCTTGCATAAAATTCCAAAATACCAAATTTTAGTGAATTTTTCAAATTCCCTAAGGTTTTAAAAAACTTTTTTTCATAGAACTAAAAATGAAATCCTATGTGCCTAAACTCTTCAGAGAGACAACATTACAGACTTTCTCTTCACCCTTTAAATTTTCTTAGAAAGTCACTGTTAAGGGCGTGCTTAGGCTAATCCATGCCCGTGAGGAAGGCAATTCATGGCCTCATATTGCTGTAGGTCATTTAGATATTTCTTCTCTTGTGGGGCTAAGGGTAAGGCTGTGAAGCTGCGAAAACAGCACACATCTTAACATGGGGCTGTGTTCCCTCCCTAGAACCTGTGTACTTAAAACACCACTAAACACACTGAGAGAGAACCCTGTGGAACAAATTCCATTTCCACATACACTAGGTCCAAAACCTGTGAGAATTTAGGCTAATAAATCTTCACTGAGCTGAACTGTCTTCTGCAAAACTATGGTCCTGAAAACTCCTACTTTTCTGGGTAAATTGTGACCTATATTGAATTGCATGACAGAAAACTCAGACAAACCACAAATAATGGCAAGAAAAATGCTCCTGCATACTGGAGGCATTTTTAATGAGAATATAATGAATATAGAAGAAAATAAAAGGCATTTAGAATAAAAAATTTATAAGAAGGTATCATTAAGCAAGTATCAATAATTGCATCTCTTTCACAAACATATAGATCTACTCTGCTAACTAAAATGTTTTTCTTAATTATTAAATATGACCTGTGAAAATAATGGTGAGGGTTATAGTTAAATGAAGCATGTTACATAGAGTTAAGTATAAAATACTAGTTTTATTCAAAGGAATTTAAGCAGTGTCAAAAGAATTATTAAATAATTATTTTTCTAATCATTAACAACTATCACTGGTTTTTCTTTTCTTTTCTTTTTTTTTATTTCACACAGCATTATTTCTGATAACAACTCTCATTTTTCTATGCAGGCATTGCCTTTGTAAACTTTTGAACTGAGGATGATTTTTCTTACCAGCAAGTTTGTCTATGAATAATACCTCCTAGGGGTCTCCAAACTTTTAATAATTATTTTATTTTTCCTAATGTTTGATTACTACTGAAGGAAGTGAGAGTAAGTTTACAGAGAGGATATACCACTTACTCTACCCACACTCTCCTGCTTGCTGGGGCGATAGGAGGAGAGAGGTTTAGCTGAGCCTGATTATTTACGGCGGTGAGATAGCGTAAGAAATAATGAACGGTTGAAACCTTTTGACTACATTGCTTGGGAGTTACTGACATACTGATAGTCATCTGGATTATCAGAATGAAAACTAAATGTAATCTTAGGTTAAGCAAAACATAATAATGAAAATAAATCTGCTGGTCATAAATAAAGGTTATAAAATGTTTTTTATCATGAAATAAAAGTGTTTTGGACCATAATTCTAGTTCCTACTACAGCAGAAAATTGGAAGTTTAGTATTTTATGAAATGTGTATGATGCAATCCTACTTCTTCTCTTTATGTACTTATTTTTTCCCTTCAAGTCGAAGAATTAAGAATTTTCAACTCTGGCCTCTGTACTACTCTCAATACAGCCCTTTGCTCCTTTAGTTGCTTAACAAGTGTTTTTCCAAGAACTGAATCAGGTTAACTATGAGGCAGAGAGGAAAATATCATTGTTAGCATTCATTAGAAGAATGCTTGTAATTTCTCTGTGATGGAACATTTGAAAGAATTTGTGCTAACCCATTGTGGTTTGAACAAACATGGGGAGAAAATGTCATCTCTCATCTGTTACCTGTGGACAGCTTATAGTTATTGTAAGCTGCTAAAAGAAGTCATTCTCTTCTTAAATATTATTCTAGTGACTAGGCAATTGCAGATTCTGTCCTTTTAGCCAAGTTTCTACATTTCCAAAATGGAAGAGGAAATTCTGCCCATCATCTTTTGATGTGTTCTCATAGCACTTCTGTATTGCTAGTCATGGTAATAAAAACTCATCTTCCAAATTAACCAGATTCTGTAAGTGGAAATACACATGACCAACTCTAAAATATTTTAGTCTGTACAACTACTCTGAATCCACTCACAAGACTATCAAGTCACTTTAGTCACTACCAACTATTTCAGAGTGTATCATCAAATATTATACATTTTTTTTCTCTTTTTGTTTTCACTCACAAGTTGATACTCATGGAAAGTTCAAGGTTGGAACTTTAAGTTAGATTAATTGGCTTCTTGCAAGGTAGCCAATTAGGTAAGGTTTCAAGGCTGCCTTCCTAAGGTATGTGCTTTATTTTATTCCCTCACCTGTAGATGGTGTTGTCTTCTTTGCTGGGAATGGACTTGAGGTCTGTGAGCTCAAGGAACCGGTCATGGAAATAGTGCAGGTGTAAAATGCACACCAGCAGAAAGGAGGTTGGGATGAATATTCGAGTGAATAGTTCAGCCACAGTAAACTGCTTTAAGCCAAGATCCTCAAGCCTGTAAAACAACAACAAAAATAATTAAAAAGAAGGGCCTTTCTTAGGCAATGAAGATATAGTCTCTTCATTATAAACTATGGCACAGTCTTACACTCCCTATATATTGTTGCATTCCTCTCTCCTGATTGGAATATTTGGCTTTTGTTCCCACCAAGCCAACTAACCTACTTTTACAACAGTCAGTAACAACCTCGACATTGCCAAATTCAATGACTACTTCTCTAGCTTTACTTAATTCAACCTCAAGTTCTTTTTTAAACAAGCCAGGTCTTGATGCTGTCACACTTGCTTGGTTTCTTGTTCTGCCACAATCTCTTCCTTTTCTATTGGACCTCTAGAGGCCAAAATATCCCCAGGACTCAGTTTTGGTCTCTTTTCTAGCTGTACTTTCCCCCTAGGTGATCTTGCCTAGTCCTGTGGATTTATATACCAACTTCATGCCAAGGACTCAAATGTGCATCTACAGTACTGCCTCCTTCCGTGGACTCTCAAACCCTAACTGCACAAGAAATTGGCTGTTTCACAGTTATTTCATATTTAGTGTTTTTAAAACAGTATTCTTGATTTCACTATTTTCCTTAGCAAAGCAGTTCTCTGCCCACCGCACCCACTCTAGTCTTCCCCAGAGAAATAAATGGTACAACTGTCCACCCTGTGCAAAACTGAGAAATCACGTTTCCTTGACTCTTTCCCTTCACATCTCATTCATCCACATTTATTTCAGCCTCTTAAGCACCTCTTAAATCTGGCAACTCCTGTTATCCAACACCAACTATTCTAGCAACTAATCTGGCAGCTCCTGTTATCCAACACCAAATATCTCCAACACCAACTATTCTAGCTGAAGACACCATCATTTCCCACTTGACCACTGCTGTTGCTCACTAGCTAGGCTTGTTGTTTCTACTCCCACACATCACTTTTTCTCAGGTAGTCAAGGGATCTTTAAAGATCGAAAAATTCTACCAAGAATAAAACACAAACCATACTATCTATTAAGTCATGCCTGTCCCAGGTGCCTGCCTGAACTCTCCCACTTCTTCTTTGTCCAGTCTCTTTGCTCCCAGCAGGGGAGCCTTCCTTCACTTCCTCCTGTGCACTGGGCCAAACCCTGACTTGCCCTAGGGCCTTTTCATGTGCTGGTATGGTCTTCCACAGCACAGCCTTCAACTCAGACACCTTTCCTAATACAAGCTCCTTTTTATCCTTCAGTGGGAGTTTCAACAACACCTCCTCAGTGAAGCCTGTCCTGATCACTCCATTTTTGGATAGTTTCCCCATTATTCACTACTTCGCCCTATTGTTTCCTTTACAGACCTGTCACACGTTGTAATTAACTTATTTTACATTAAGTAATCTTCTTGTTTGTCTCCTCTATAAGCGCCACAGGGCTTAGACTCTGTCTGTCCCATTTCCTGTCACATCTCCAAGCGCAAAACGGTGTCAGGCACACGGAAAGCATCCAATCGACATTTGTTGAATAGCCCCGTTAGTTACATTGGTCTAGCTACATGGTGATTCTTTCCTTTTAGACCGTTCTCCCAGTCGCTTCAATATACTCAGGTCAATTTCCAAGGCTGCTTGGATTTCTAAACTAATTTCAGAAGTGTATAGAAACAAATTAGAAAAGGATAGAGTGCTCTCTATAACGTGTGCAGGAAAAGCTATCTGATCATCACGAGTCCACCAGCACTGAGAGCAAGGTCTTGCTGGGCGGCACTCAGCACGCCTTAGAATCTCTGCACTAGCAGCAGCAGCGAGGAAAGTTAGCTGCTTTACGTTACGAGTCCATGAACCTACGAACTAGAGAATTCGGCTCCAATTCGGAGAGCAGGAAGTACAACTAAGTACTAAGCAGGGGTATTTCACATGCAACTGACATTAGAAAATGTCAATGTCATTTCATTAAGATGGATTTGAAAATTAATTTTTCAGTCAGTATTCTTGGAGTACCTACTATGTTCCAAGCTTAGGACTAGGTAGAGGGAACACAAGGATGACTAAGTTATAAATCCTGTTCTCAAGGAACTTATAGACATTGATGAATTATGTTTTACTAAAATCTTCTTTAAAGATGTTTTGAACAATATGCATTCCAGTTTTTATCCTGTTTCTCATTTTCACAACCCATTGTACGCCAAGCTTACTTTTCCTTTTTCAGCCCAGTCATGTTTTGCCACAGGCCTGGGAAGTTTTCAAATTGATATGTGTATATAAAGATGAGCACCAGCATAGTGTAAATAACCACTGACATCCAAAAATATTTTAGAATTCTCCTCCACCACTCATAGTGTACCTGTGGATCAGATATTGAAAAACAAATGAGAAAAAAACCCAGTTTTAGAAAAACTCACAAAAATATCTGGCTTATTTAAGACAACTGATTACATATACAAATGTTTGAAAATAAAGGCTATTTATTTCTAGTTTATATTCTGTTTCTAATATAGTTGAATGGATCAGGGTTAGAATCCCAGTTCTAGGTGTGAACTAAAATAAAATCTTAAGGCTCCCCCCTCCCCCGACTGGCTGACTGAATGGACCTCCTCTTGGCCAAGGGGATATCCTAAAACTAAATTGCCTCCTATGAGGAAGGAGGTCAGACATGCCTCATAATGCACCTCCCCTTATTGGAGACATCCTTTGTAAACCATTAACAGGTATAAGGCTACGCAAGACAAATCTGTAGGTCCTCAATTTATACAACAAATATATGTTCACGGCTTGTCTCTAATTAACAGCTCCTTATCTTAAAACATTCCAAGCCTTTAGACAAAGCTTCATGTCTTTAAGCAATTACAAGTCAAAAAATCTTTAAACCCACCTGTACCTTGTAGGCCCCCTGCTTTAAGATGGCCCACCTTTCCACATATTGATTTATGACTTTACCTGTAACCCCTGCCTCTCTGAAATGTATAAAACCAAACTGTAACCCACACAGTAATTCAACTTGCTCAAGGCTTCTTGGGTGTGGCTCCGTGTTATGGTCGTCAAATTTGGCTCAGAATAAATCTCTTTAAAATTATTTTATAGACTTTGGCTTCTTTTCTGTTGACACAGGTGGTTGCTGACTGTGTCTTTGGGCAAGTTGCTGGACCTTACTGAGCAACAGTTTCCTTCTCCGTAAGTACCTACTTTGCAGAGTTGTTATGATGGTGAAATAGATAATATTTACAAGGCTCCTAGCATGATATCTGGTTCAATGAATGGTAAGATAGGTGCTGCTCTCATTATAGTTATTATTAATGAGGAAAACTGCATAAGTTTTGAAATTCAAAGCAGTATTTGATGAACAAAAATGTGAAACAATCACAGAGAGAAGACAACTCTCTTTACTATAAGCTGTGGATACACATTAGAAAATATCTATACAGAATTTTAAAGAGTATTAAAAAGTTCATTGATTTCTATTGAGATATTTTTATCTTCATATATAATATACTCTTATTTATTATACTTGCTTTATCTGTTTTGTTAGCTACCTGCAAGGATATTTTATGGTTGCACACATTTCTATCATTGAGCTACCTTCTATCATTAAGTAAAACTGAGTTTGTGGAGAGGTCAATGCATTTTATATAATCTTTTATAAATTTTAATTAATGAAATACTGAAGCAGTCAATACAGTATACATATATATGTATATACACATGCATACACACATGCATGAATACATACATACACACATATAGTCTTCTGATTCCAAAGCCTGAAATGTAAGTTAGCTGAGAATCCGCTTCTATTTTATATTATCTAGCCACTGCTTCTAAATTACTATTCAAAAATGTAATATAATTTTACTTATTTCTTTTTTTGATCAAGAATTTTTGAAAAACTTATGAACTTTTTTCTGACCTTTAAAGAATCTAAAATTTTAAAATAGTAAACAAGTTGAAAACAGTCATTTCCCATTTTTGGATTCTTAGGATATAATGTTTGAATCTCACCAATCACTTTACATGATATGTTCCTGGGATTATTAATTTAGAAACTCTGCAAAGGTGGCTCATATATGCTCCTGTGACAGATGTGAGAATTAAAAAATAGGGGACAATTGTCTACCTACCTGATACAAGGCCACACAGAACAGGAACAGCACCATGTAGATGATTTTGTACATGACGATTTTACCCTCAAAGCTGACAAAGAAGAACATGCCTCCACAGACATAGATCCAGTACTTGATGAACATGGCCACCACCAAGTTGCCCAGCACTTTCATGATGTCCTGGTCATCTTCTTCTTCTTCCTCTTCCTCTTCCTCCTTCTCTTCCTTCTTTCTCTCTTGCTTCTCTTCCTTGGCTTCCTCTTCTTCCTCCTCCTTTCTGGGCTCTCCTTCCACTTGGATGTCTTGAAGTTCCTCATCTTCAAAATAGAAAACTGAGCCATTATAATGAGCTGGATCCCCGACCAGATACAACTTTGACATTGTGTAATATATATGGGACATAGAAACATGAATTTTATGAGTTATTCCATGATTTGAATGAGTTTAGAGTGTTCAAATAAACAAGACACCATTCATCCTGAACTATAGTTTAAGAGAATATAAATTTGGTAATATCTTTATACTGATTTCTAAAAAATATCTTTTTCATTTCCAATATTTAATGATAACTTTAGTACTGCAGGATCTAGAAAAACGAATAGGCACTAATAGCACAAATCAAAATGATTATATCAATTTCAAATTCTAATTGTTTTCATGGTTTTAGAAAATCCAAGTAGCAATTTACTAAATGTCATGAATGCTAACAATCTTAACCAAAAAGCATGCCTTTAAATAAAAGTGTAAGAGTTAAAGCCAAATATAATTTAATTTAAATTAAGTTTAAAGAGCAATTGTATTTTAGGTTTAAAACAAGTTTATGCATTGAAATTAAGAACTTATTTTGTCTTGCTTTAAAAGATGCTAATACATAGGACTCATTTCAGGGTTACAAAGGCTTGTATTTGAATAATTTGAGTAATTATTTCAATTATAATTTTTGGATACTTTTGAATAATTCATTCAAACAACCAGTAGATTCATAGAGAGAGGGGAATGAACATGAAGTGAGGGGTGAGAACAACTATTGATCTCAAATTACCATCCTCTCCCAAAATTAACTGGTTAATTTAATCATTCTGTTGAACAGAGACATCCAAACTCATATAGGCAAGACTTAAATGTTATAGACAGACTTTTTCTGCTGAAAAATAACTCAATGGTCAGGTCTAAATAGGAAACTATATTTAAAAAAAAGTTGATCTGTGTTGGTTTTCTTATAGTTACCAGTTCAATCTTAAGGCTACCAGCCCAGTTTCTGTGGACTCTTACAGTCTCCTTTTTAAAGACTATACTACTTAACTTCACTAATATTCTCCATTCCATTCTATAAACATTAAACACATTTATTGTTATCTCTAGGGAGCTAATTCTTATTTTACTTACACAGAAGGTCTAAAACTATAAAGGTGATAATAACATCATTTTCTTTTTTTTCTTTTTACTTTGTGGTATGTTATTTTTAGGAAAAGAGAAGATTTGAATTTAAAAGATTTGAGTCAGTTTCTTGGTTCCAATACTCAGTAAAAGCATGACCTTGGAGAAATCATTCAATTTCTCTGAGTCTCTCTTTCTTCTTCCATTGGGAATCACTTTCTTAAGAATCAAATGGCACATTTTTAAAAACCCATTGTGAACTCTCATGTGTATTCTAAAAGTCACATACTATAATAATGTTATTTATTGCTTCAATGTTCATATTTGGCTCCCACCAAGTCTGAAGCATAGAGGCTTTCTGATGTATTTTCAGGGTCTTTCTCTTTAACTGTGCTAAGCATAAAAATCTCCAATCACACACTGTCCACACTAATTTACCTTTTTCTTCGTTTTCCTGACTGCCAATTTTGACTTCAGATAAAAGGGCTTCCTTTTCTTGAAGAGCTTTTTGCTCTGTGAGGTGCTGCCTCAGAAGCAGCCAAAAAGTAATAGTGAAAAGAATCTGAAATTAGAGAAGTAGCAAAACAAGAATTAAGCAATCATTTGAAGTACAAACAAATTTCAACAATATAAATCTCCTTACATGTCAGTGGGAGCACAATAAGAGATACAGTTCAGCTGAAATTCACTGCTTTTTTTGGATATAAATTTATGGGGTACAAGTGTAATTTTATTACATGGATATATTGTGTAGTGGTGAAGCCTGGGCTTTTAGGGTACCCATCGCCTGAATAATGTATATCATACCCATTAAGTAATTTCTCATCACCCACCTCCTTCTCACCCCCCACCCTTGCATGTCTCTATTGTCCATTAGTAGATGTTATTTAGCTCCCACTTATAAGTGAAGAACCTGTGGTATTTCTCTTTCTGTTTCTGAGTTGTTTCACTTAAGATAACAGCCTCCAATTCTATCCATGTTGCTGCAAAAGACATGATTTCATTCTCTCTCTCTCTCACTCTCTCTCTCTCTCTCTCTCTCTCTCTCTCTTTTTTTTTTTCTTGAGATAGGATCTTGTTCTGTTCCTTGGGCTAGAGGCTAGAGTGCAGCTGCATCATCATAGCTCACTGCAATTTCAAACTCCTGAACTCAGGTGATCCTTTTGCCTCGGCCTTCTGAGTAGCTGTCATTATAGATGTGTACCACAACACCTGGCTAATTTCTTTTTATTTTGTAGAGACAAGGTCTCCTTATGTTGCCCAGGCTGGTCTGGAACTCCTGGCCTCAAGCAATCCTGTCAGCTTCACAAAGTGGTGGGATTGCAGGTGTGAGCCATTATTCCCAGCTGATTTCATTCTTTTTATGACTGAATAGTATTCCACTGTGTTTATGTACCATATTTTCTTTATACCAATCATCTGTTGATGAACATTTAGGTTGATTCCATGTCTTTGCTATTGTGAATAGTGCTGCAATAAGCATACGAGTGTAGGAATCTTTTTGATATGACGATTTCTTTTCCTTTGGGGATACTCAGTAGTGGGATTGCTGGATCAAATAGTAGTTTTATTTTTAGTTCTTTGAGAAATTTCCATACTGTTCTCCAGTGAGGTTCCATTAATTTACATTCCCAGCATCAGTTTATAGCATTCCCTTTTCTCTGCATCTTTACCAACATCTGCTATTTTTTTGTCTTTTTAATAATAGCCATACATACTGGTTGAAGATGATATCTCATTATGGTTTTAATTTTCATTTCTTTGATGACTAATGATGTTGAGCATTTTTTCCTGTGCTTGGCCATTTGTATGTCTTTTTTTGAAAAATGTCTATTTGTGTCCTTTGCCCACATTTTAATGGAATTGTTTTTGTTGTTATTGTTGAGTTGTTTGAGTTCCTTGTAAATTCTGGATATTATTTCCCTGTTGGATACATAGTTTGCAAATATTTCTGCAGATTGTCTGTTTACTTGTTTATTTCATTTGTTGTGTAGAAGCTTTTTAGTTTAATTAAGTCTCATTTGTCTATTTTTGTTTATGTTGCCTGTGTTTTTGAGGTGTTAGTCATGAATTCTTTGCCTAGACCAAAGTCCAGAAAAGTTTTCACTAGGTTTACTTTCAGTATTTTTACAGTTCAGGTCTTAAACTTAAGTCTTTAATCCATCTTTAGTTAATTTTTGTATATGGTGAGAGAGAGAGAGGTCCAGTTTCATTTTGCATGTGGCAATCCAAATATCCCAGCATCATTTATTGAAAAGGTGTCCTTTCCCCAGTGTATGTTTTTGTCGACTTTGTCAAAGATCAGTTGGCTGTAGATATGTGGCTTTATTTCTGGGTTATCTATTCTGTTCCATTGATCTATGTGTTTATTTTTATGCCAGTACCACACTTTTCTGGTTACTATAGACTTGCAGTATAATTTAAAGTCAAGTAATGTGATGTCTCCAGATTTATTCTTTTTGCTTAGGATTGCTTTGACTATTCAGGCTCTTTTTTAGTTCCATATGAATTTTAGGATTGTTTTTTCTGATTATGTGAAAAATGATGTTGGTATTTGAAAGAGAATGCATTGAATTGGTAGATTGCTTTGGGAAGTATGGTCATTTTAATGATTGATATTAATTCTTCTGATCCCTGAGCATGGGATGTTTTTCCATTTGTTTGTAACATCTACAATTTCTTTCATCATTTTTTTGTAGTTTTCCTTGTAGAGATCTTTTGCATCCTTGGTTAAATATAGTCCTAGGTATATATATTTTTTGTAGCTATTAAAAGTGGGATTGCCTTCTTGATTTGGTTCTCTGCTTGATCACTACTGATATATAGAAAAATTATTGATTTTTGTACCTTGATTTTGTATACTGAAACTATACTGAATTCATTTATCAAATTTGAGAGTTTTTTTGGTGGGTTTCCTGGTATAAGAACATATCATATAAGTGAACAGGGATAATTTGACTTCCTCTTTTCCAATTTGCATGCCTTTTATTTTTTTCTCTTGTCTGATTGCTCTGTTAGGACTTCTAGTATTATTTTAAATAGGAGTAGTGAAAGTGAACATCTTTGTTTTGTCCCAGTTCTTACAGAGAATGTTTTCAACTATGGCTTTGTTGTATACGGCTTTTATTATTTTGAGGTATTTTTCCTCTACAGCTACTTTGCTGAGGGTCTCTATCATAAAGGATGTTGAATTTTCTGCATCTATTGAAATGATCATAAAGGTTTTGTCCTTAATTCTGTTTATGGGATGTATCACACTTATTGGATTTGCATAGATAAACCATCCTTGCATCTCTGGTATAAAACTCACTTGATTATGGTGTAGTCTCTTTTTTATGGGCTGTTGGATTCACTCTACTAGTTTTTGTTGAGGAGTTCTGTGTTTATGTTTGTCAGGGTATTGGTCTATAGTTTTCTTTCTTTGTCTGGCTTTTGTATCAGTGTGATACTGGCCTTGTAAATGAGTTAGGGAGGATTCCCTACTTCTCAATTTTTGGGAACAGTTTCAGGAGAATTCTTTGTAGCTTTAGTAGAATTCAACTATGAATCCCTCTGGTCCTGGGCATTTTTTGGTGGGAAACTTTTTATTACTGTTTCAATCTTGCTACTCATTATTGGTCTGTTCAGGAGTTCTATTTCTTTCTGGTTCAATCTTGAGACGTTGTATATTTTCAGGAATTTATCCATTTCCTCTAGGTTTTCTAGTTTGTGAGTATATAGCTGTTGATAATAATCTTTGGTGATCTTTTGCATTTCTGTGGTGTCAGTTATAATGTTTCCTTTCTTCATTTCCAATTGTTTATTTGGTTCTGCTCTCTCCTTTTCTTAGTCAGTCTAGCTAGTAATTTATCAATTATATTTATCTTTTGAAGAACAAACTTTTCACTTCATTGATCCTTTGTGATTTTTTGATATCTATTTCATTAGTTTTTTGATCTTTATATTGTTTTTCTTCTGTTAACTTTGGGTTTGGTTTGTTCTTGTTTTTCTAGCTCCTTGTGGTATGATATTAGGTTAGGTTGTTAATTTGTGATCTTTCTAATTGTTTGATGTAGCTATTTATAATGCTATAAATTTACCTCTTAGTACTGCTTTTTTTCAGTATCCCAGAGATTTTGAAATGTTGTGTTTCCATTTTTATTCATTTAAAATTTTTTTAAATTTCCATTTTAAATTTTTTCATTGACCCGATGATCTTTCAGAAGCATGTCATTTAATTTCCATGTATTTGTATAGTTTCCTAAGTTCCTGTTGGTATCAGTTTCTAGTCTTATTCCACTGTGTTCTGAGAAATACTTGATATAATTTTGATTTTTTAAAAATTTGTAGTGACTTGTTTTGTGGCCTAAGCTATGGTCTACCTTGGAGAATGTTCCATGTGCTGATGAGAAGAATGCATATTCTGCAGTTGTTGGGTACAACGTTCTATAAATTCTATTAAGTCTGATAAGTACATTCAGTCTAAAGTCCAATTTAAGTCTGATGTTTCTTTCCTGATTTTCTCTCTCAATGATCTGTCTAGTGCTGTGAGTGGGGTGTTTAAGGCCCCCCAAAATATTGCATTGCTATCCATCTCTTTGTTTGGTCTGGTAATATTTATGAATCTGGGTGCTCTGGTGGACATTAGAATTACTATATAGTCTTAATGAATTGATCCCTTTATCATTATTCTTTTCATTTATTTTTTTTTCAGAATATTATGGGCATAAAAATGTTAAGGTTACGTATATTGCCCTTCCCTCCCTCCCCCCTCGAGTCAGAGCTTCAAGCGTGTCCATCCCCCAGTTGGTGGGCATCATACTCATTATGTATGTATATACCTATCCCCTCCCCCCCACCTGTCTGACACCCAATAAATGTTATTCCTATATATCTACATAGGTGTTCTTTATCATTATTTAATACAATGACCTTCTTTGTATTTTTATATTGTTTTTGATTTAAAACTACTCCTGATTGCTTTTGGTTTCCGTTTATGTGGAATATCTTTCAACCTATTTACTTTCAGTCTGCATATGTGTTTACATATAAAGTGAGTATCTTATAAGCAGCATAGTTGGATTATATATTTTTATCCATTCCACAAATCTATATATTTTAAGTGGAACATTTAATCTATTAACATTCAAGGTTGATATTAAAATGTAAAGTATTGTTCCTGTTACATTGTTAATTGCTATCTGTTTTATGAATTCGTTGTTTTGATCTTTTTCTCTGTTTATCTTTGTGATTTGGTGGAACTCCATTTTGTTGTATTTGATTTCTTTCTCTCCCTTTTGTTCAGTTGTTTTATATGACCTATGAGTTTTATACTTTCATTTATTTTTATGATGGCAAATATCGACTTTTCATTTCCATTTTTAGGACATCTTTAAGCATTTCTTGTAGGGCTGATCTAAAGGTGATAAATCCACTCAGTGTTTGCTTGTGCAGGAAAGACTTTATTTCTCCTTCATTTATGAAGTTCAATCTAGGTGAATATAAAATTATTTATAGGCAATTTTTTTCTTTCAGGACTTTGAAAATCTCATCCTATTTTCTTCTGGCTTGTAAAGTTTCTGCTAAGAAGTCACCTAGTAGTCTGATAGGTTCCTTTATAGGTGAATAAACACTCTTTTGCTGATTTTAAAATCCTTTTCTTCGTGCTGACTTCAGACAGTCTGATGACTATATGGTGCAATGAAGTTCATTTATAATGTATTTTCCTGGGGATACTTGGGCCTCCTGTATCTTCATGTCTAAATCTGTTGCTAAACTTGGGACACTTTTGACAATCATTTCCTTAAACAGTTTTTCTAAACTTTTAAATTTTTCTTCCCTCTCGGCCATACCAATAATTTATAAGTTCAGTTCTTTATGTAGTCCTATACATCTTAAAGGCTTTGTTCATTCTTTTCTTTAATTTTTATTTTTTCATTTTTTTCTGACTCAATTAATTCAAAAGACCTGTCTTCAAGTTCGGAGATTCTTTCTTCCTTTTGGTGTAGACTATTGTTTTATCTTTCAAATGTATTTTATAATTCCTTTAATGAAATTTTCATTTCCAGAATTTCTGTTAGGGTTTTTCTAAGTTATTTATCTCCTTGACAAATTTCTTGTTCATATCCTGATTTGATTTTCTGATTTCTTTGTACTGATTTTCATATTTCTCTTTCATCTCATTGAGCTTCTTTAAAATCAATATTTTCACTTCTTTATATGGCATTTTGAGGATTTTTTGGGGGGTTGGGATCTATTGCTAGAGAATTATTGTGTTTCTTTCAGGATGACATAATATCTTGCTTTTAAATACTTTTTGTATCTTTACACTGATTTCTGTGCATCTGGAGAAACAGTTGCTTCTTCTTTCTCATTTTTAAATTTACTTTCATTGGAGTAGACCTTTTTTCTTGAAGATGTAACTATGATGTATGTTGGGAAGGGCCATTTGGCATTTCTTCTTGGGGTGTTCAGTGGCAAAGACTCTGTATGATTTCTTTATTATAAATATGCTGGCTCTCTCAAATGCCAGTTGTAGTGGTTGTGTACCAAGTGGGTGAGCAAGTTCATGACCCCTTGAGTAGCCAGGGTGGCATGGATGATGGTGGTAGCAGAGTTTGTGAGAAGCTTCTCTTGTTCTTTAGCACTGTGCAGTTATGTCGGCAGATGTTGTAAAATGGGCTGTGCAGGTTGACCTCTGGTCCAATAAGTAGCACTTGCAGGTAAGAGCCAGCTCAGTGGTAGAAGAAGGGTTTATGCCCAACTTCTACTAACTGGCAGAAGTACTTGAGTGTCCCAATAGTGGGCTGGGCCATGGAATGCCCAAGGGCCTGGGTCTTGTGCTCTGTCTCAGTGGGGGTGAGGATGAAGCTAAGCAAAGCTGGACCAGACAAGCCTGAATTTATGCCCCCCCCCATGGCAGGTGCAAGCACTAGCCCTGATGGGGGCTTTAGGGCAGACCTAAGGCCCTTGGGGAAGTCCCCAGGTGAGGAGCAACCACTGCTGTGCTTAGGTTTCAGCATGGGGTAATTCCAGTGCCATAGCATAGCAAGCGGGAGTGGGACCTGCTTCTCTCTCACTCTCTCATATCCCAGACCTGGCGAGGCTCACTCCCACATCCTGACTGTGACAGTCAGTTAGGATATTTATCCACTGTAGTTTGATTCCAGTTTGCACTGCTGCCCTGGGACATGGGAGTCACTGCCTGGGTCAATACCACTCCCCACTGGCAATATTCACATACGATACCATATCACATATCATATGACATACCATGCAATTCACCCATTTAAAGTGTACAACTCAGTGGTTCCTAGCATATTCACACAGTTGTGCGATTACTGCAATCAATTTTAAAACATTTTCATGCCCCCAAAAAGAAGCCCCATAAAAGTTCCTCCTTTTCTCCCCATCTAAGTCCTAGTCAATTGCTAATTTAACTTTTTGTCTCTATAGATTTGCCTAATCTGGTACTTTATGTAAATGGATTAATATAATATGTATTCTTTTGAATGCAGATTTCATTACTTAGCATAATGTTTTCAAGGTTTATCCATTTTGTAGCATGTACAGGGCCTTATTCTTTTTAATTACCAAATAATATTCCACAGTATGGCCATACGACATGTTATTTATCCATATTCATCAGTTGATGGGCATTTAGTTTGTTTCTATATCTTCAGCTATGATGGATCATGCTCCCAAGAACATTCATGTGCAAGTTTTCATGTGCACATATGTTTTCAATTCTCTTGGGTATATATAAATCTAGGGCTGGAATTGCTGGTTTTATGAAAATTCTATGTTTAACATTTTGAGGAACTGACACGGTATTTTCCAAAGTTGTTATACCATCTTACATTCCCACCAGCAGTATGTGATAGTACCAATTTTCCCACATCCTCAGTACATTTGTTATTATTTATCTTTTTAAATTATAGCCATACTAGTGGATATGAAGTGGTATCTCATTGTGGTTCATAGTATGAATAGGATTTTTGTAAATATTTGGCAAAGAAATGAAAAGAATAAATAGGTAAATGAATGGGTCATTTTCATTTTGAATTGCCCCCTTAACTATCCATAAATGTCCATTTATCATTTACTTTCAACATAAACCAGTGCCAGTAAGTCCTGGTAAATGTTCCCAGGATCTAATGAAATCAAGAACCAGAGTGCCTACATTTCTGAAAATCTGGCATTAAAATGCCAGAAGTCACTATGAATCAAACTATAGCTGCAAATTGAGAAAGAAATCTGTTTCTCTAATGCATTTCTCACTCAGAGAGGCCAGGAGTAATTGGGGGCAGGTGGGATACCCTTCCTAGGGAAGGCGAGTTAAAAGCCAGTTTTGAAGGCAGCAGTTGATATGGTTTGATGGAGCCTGGAATGAGACACACTTATGACTGTTGCAAAGCTGTTCAGAATGGCTCCACAGGAGGTGTTCAGACCCTCACATACTAAGGCTGGTTTCTTCTCTCTTATTTTTTAACACACTGACTCATCTGGTACTCTGTAAGCAGTGTATGTTTAATAATATGTTTTTATAAATCTTATTGTGATAGAGATTGTATGAGCTTGGAGTTGTGTTGTTATTGTCTATCACAAAATCTTGCTTTTCTTTTGTTTTTGGACTCCTAGATACTTTAAAATATAAGTGCATAATTTCCCAGAATCACTTTTTTTTTACAGGTAACAAATTATTTTCTTAGTAATGTTTTCCTCCCTAAGAACTGTTAATTTTAGATTAGATGGGTGAGTATTCAACTAATTATTGGCATGCATTTTTAGAAATCTCATTGTTATTCTGAGTCAGGTTGTAATGGATTTATACAATCAAAAGAATAAGATTTTGAATTTCTCTTATAGAAAAAACTAACTTACCAGTTGTGTGTGAGTGTGTGTGTCTCTCTGTGTGTGTCTGTGTTAAAGGGGAAAAAGAGGGAGGGGAGATAAAAGAAAGGACTATTAAATAAAGGTGACTTGTACATGGGAGTATTAAGAAAGATTTTGAGCATGGAGTATGGTTTGGAAGAAAAGCAGAGTTGTGTAGGCATGGGAGTTTGGGATGAATGAATAAATGAATGAATAAACTTTCCATGGTCCACAAACACAGGGATTATGGTATCACCTTTAACTGTCAATAGCATTCACTTGTTAGAATTTTTTTCCTTTACTCCAATACCCCTTCACCAAAAAAATCTGTTATGAGGACTGACATCCCATTTACACTGATTGTCTTGGATAGGGGGTGTCTGGTAACCCTTAAAGCAGGTGGTTGCTCCCAGGAAAAGTGAATTTCATGTGATGCAAATGTCTCCTTCAGAGATATTAATTTTCAAAACTCATTCAATATATTCACATTTGATTTACTGTCTTAATGAAGTCAGCAACAGAAAGTGAATGTGTGTTTAGTCTGCTACTTTGTTAACAAAAGAAACAAACAGTAAGTTGCACCTAATCTTCTGAAATAAAACTATTAAGTAGCCCATGAAAACAAATGAGTAGGGAAAAGATTATGAACTTTCTAACTCAGATGAAGGCATATCATATAATCAGTAGAAGAAAAAAATGCAAGTGCCATTCTTAATTTTTACTACTAAAAATGTTTTATGCAGCAAGTCCCTAACCTTTCTGGCATCAGGGAACAGTTTCATGGAAGACAAATTCTCCATGGACCAGGGGCAGGAGAAGGATAGCAAGCGATGGGAGTGGCTATAAATACAGATAGGCTTCTCTTCCTTCCTGGCTCTGTCAGCTGCCACTCACCTCCTGCTGTGCGGCCCAGTTACTAACAGGCTACAGACTGGTATCAGTCTCTGGACAGGAGTTGGGGACCGCAGTTTTATAGGACATAATTGGAGGAAAAATGTTGCCATTAATAAGCAATACTTATCTAAAACAGCAATGTGCTAAGCATGTTTTACAAATTGATAATCTATCAAAGAAAGTCCGCTAACCTCATGATATATTTTATATGGTATTTTCCTATTTCCACATCTAATTTCTACTAGAGTGCAATTTATACTAAAAAATAATTTATATTATAATTTTTCTTTGAGTGGAAAGTATTGTCATTTTTAAGTAAAAGCTAAAATCATGGTGTAACATAATGTTAATGTTTAAATTATAGAGACCTTTAAGCACTGTAAATTATCTCTTCCCATCACATGTATCTGTTTGCTTTGCAAAGCAGTGAATATTTGGAGCCTGTTTTTGTTAGGTTTCTCTTAGATATGATTATTAAAATTTTTGTGGTTTTGTGCCATTGTTTTGTTTTCTTGTTTTCCTATTCACTTACCTTTGAAGCAAGTTCTCCTGGCTCTTTCTTTTCTAAAAATCCTGGGACCTTTTTAATTTCAGGAAGCTCAAAACTCCATATATACTGTAATATCAACAATAGATTTCCATAAACCACCATGAAAGGAGAGCTGATCATGGCATATTTTCTTCTGTTGCGAATCATCCAAAGAGTGCACGACCAGATAAGCAGCACGAACGTCAACCAGCTATGATAGGTGATGCTCCAGGCCTGGAGGGAGAAAAGATGAGATGATAATGGTCAATACAATGCACAGTCCCCTCACACTGGTAAGTTAAAATTTATCTAAAAGGAAAAGGTAAATAATATTCAAAGGAGGGAAAGAAGAGTTGTGGTGCAGTAATGGAGACTGCAACCTGTGGCACAGAAAAGGAAGAAAACAGAAATACTGATTGTGCTGAGAATGACATTGCTTTTGAACTTATAGGGAATAGGGTCAAAGGCAAAAGGTGTCTTCATTCCAAGTCTGTTTCCCTTGAGCACCAAATCTCTTGTTCTTTACCTTACTTTACAGTATTACAAATAACCATGTTTTCTCCTTCCCCCACCCAAAATAGTCTGCAGTCAGCAATTATTTTTAAGTGATGAGTGAGTGTGGGTCATTTTTGAGGCTAAGAAATATAAGCTTTGAGAATCAACAGGTTAACCATAAAAGTTGGACTTCAGGGATCACTCTTGGTAGATGACCCAAGAAGATATACATGATGGAAATTAGAAGATTGACATGAAGAAGCTGCATGTTAGGCTTCCGCACATCCAAGACCACACAGCCAAGTAAATAAAGGCCAACCTTAGCTTCTGTCCTGTAAGAGTTGGGACTAAAAACCAATCAGACCGTCTTCCATTCATGTTAAACTTTCAAAGAATCAGACATATATCTCATCTGGAAGCTACCAGGACAATATGTATAGCAGGCTCACAAATGCTTTAACTTCAGGAAACCTGTTATCTTCTTTTGTAATCTGATACTATATTTTTTTGGTGAAAAGACCTTTAAAAATATTTTCTAGATATGTTTGAGCTAATTGAAATCAATCACATTCCCGAATATCATAAATATCAAGAGTTAGTTTTAAGGTTCAAATGTTTTACAAATCTATTTTGCTTCTGGAAATTAGATAGGTATTAAGATAAATGAAGTCAGCATGGAATAAACAAATACTTCCTCTCAGCAATTTGCAAATCTGTCCTAAAGCACTACCAGTTTTTTTAAGTGATAATTTAAATTGTTGGTTAAATATATATAATAATTATAAACAGGAAATTTAAATTCCTTTTATCAAAATTAAGTTAGTGAATGACAACTAGTACCAAGTCTAGTTTTCATGAATTATTTTCATGAAATTATTATTTCTTGGAAATAGAATTTATCAAAGGTTAGGTAATATTTAATGTATTGATGTTAAGTAACACATTTAATAGATTTGCATTAAATAATATATTTAATGCATTTATCCCAGTATGAAATGCAGATATAACTCCTCCATTTTTTGTGTGTCCTAGGAAAATAATTTTCAATTTTCATGGATATTATAATTCCAGCAGATCCTCCCTTCCCAGCCCCTTCATTATTCTTGTTTGGGAGGATGAGGGAGAAAAAGAAATTATGAACATTAAAAAAAAACTGTCTCTTCTTTTTAATGCCAAGTCACATGAACCTTCCAGTTGTGGTAGTTGGATAGTAGAATCTGCATTGTGTTGTTTCTTATGTTCAGTTTCAGAATTGTCTCGATAGTTAGTATATTTGTACATTGTATTTTTTAAATAAATGGTGATATCACTTTAACGGAAGTGACTTCTCAGAACTTCTGTTTCTGTGATTAAGAAGTCTGTAATAAGGAGCTTCCATGGAAGGAAGGCACTTTTAAAACATTAATATCATGGCTCCATTAATATAATGGTACCAGACAAGCACACATCTTTAATGAAGGATTGTGTTGTTTTACAATAGATTTTTTTCTATTAAGTAACAAAATGTATATTCAAAGATTTTTTCCAATCTCTATTTCTTTAAAGAAAAAAATCAAACTTACCTGGTTCAGGGAGAAAAAAAATAATTATATATTTTTTTGAATTCAGAATCAGAATTATAAATTGCATTTACAATATGTTTGATATTTAACAATTAGAGATTTACTGTAATTTAAAGTAGAGGCTGAGAGATAGAAAATGTCAAAAGGTAACTGAAGAGCAGAGAATTAATTTCATGTAAAGAATAGACCTGGCAATCCCCAAGAGCACCTTCAATTTCAAGGAGCTTTCTTTCTCCTAGCCTTCCCGTATGTGAGGTTGTGTTCCTCACTAGAAACTACAGTTGAGTTATGTATGGGTTCATCTGGGAATCATGTTGACTAAGTGCCTGTGGAAACTGTGTCTAGGTACTTTTTCCCCCTAGAGTTATAGAATATTTTTATTTTTTATCTTCAAAAGTGTCCACGGGATCCCATCACTGACCACAGAATTTGAAAGAGTTGCATTTTAAACAAGAATATTAGGTTTCCCAAAAATAAATCAGCTTCCTCAAGAAAATTTGTTTTTAGAGCTTCTGTTATCTTCTGTCTAGAGGCCAAAGGATTATTTCGGAAGCTATGATGTCGGATATGGAGAATGTATCTAGTAGAGGTGACAGAAACATGCATACACTGAGAGCTCACAATTGGAACAGGCTCTTGAGAACCCTGGTTGCTTGATGCTCATATTGGTAAGAAGTTATTACAGATAAGATGAAACAGTCTCACCCAAATCTAAGGCAAGATATGAATATAACTCTCAACATCTGAAGGAAATAAAATCAGCCTCTATTAACCTTGAACACTTCAGTCTTTTAGAAAAACTACCCAATATGTCCTCTGAAGTTTGCAAAATAGGGAAGAGCCTGACTGATAAACTAATTTGAGAGAAATGTGCTAATATTTAAAGGGAGGAAAAGTAGAGTTGAAAGGATATGATTTTGCAACCTATAGTATAAAAATCCCATGAAAAATTAACAGAGCAGACCATTCTCTGTGAAGGCATTGGGAAGACTACTATACTTATGCTGGCCCTGAGAAGACGGTGGAGCTCAGAGCCTGCAGGGCTGTGGGCACCACTTCTCCAACACCTGCCGCTGCCGCCCATACGCACCATCATGGCAATGAGGGCACAGATATAGCTTTGTTTCATGATGAATTGGAACACGGAGACCATGGCATGAACTTTGACGCTTCTTTTCTCCTCGTGGCTTTGTTCCTCTTCAAATTCTTCTTTCTCTTCCTCCTCTTCCTCTTTCTTTTCTAGATGGAAACATATTTTATGTAATTATTTATGCAAACATGAAATTTGTATAAATGTTCCAAGCAGTAAAGCACATGTATGATTCTGACACAGCCTTTTATTTAAGACTTCAGAAATCATTTCCAATTAATAAAGCACTCAGAATTCAAACAGAATCAGTACGTTCTGCCTGGTCAGTGTAACAGGCTCTGCACTCAGAAATTATGGGAAGAAAATTTCCATTTGAGAGGGTATAGAAAACTTCCATTTCCTGGCTTTCATGCCCTTGTGTGAGCCCTTCCCCCTGAGTGTAGGCAGGACCTGGGACAGGCTTCTAAAAAACAGAGCACTTCAAAAGTGATGGAGCGTCACTTCCAAGATTCAGTTTCAAAACACTGTGGCTTTCACCCTGGGCACCTTCCCTCATTCTCTCATTCGCTTGTCCTGAGAGAAGCCAGCTTCCATGTTGTAAACTGCCCTGTGGTGAGGCTCAGGAGGTGAGAACTGATGTCTCTGCTGGGCAGCAGTCAGCAAGAGCCGAGGCCAGCTGGCCAACAGTGGGCTTGGAAATAGATTCTTCCCCACTCAAACCATCAGAAGAGATTGCAGCCCCAGCCAGGAGCCTCATAAACTACCCTAAGCTGTAGGCACCAACCTAGTCACACCCAGATTCCTGACCCAGGGAAACTGTATCACACTAAATGTTGTTTTAAGCTGCTAAATAAAGTGTCCTGTCTTTCTTGTTTGAGCTAAATGGGCTATATACACGTTGGTTAGAGAACCAAGTTTCCTAGCGCCATGAAGAGGAAGGATAAACTACTAAAAAATCAGTGACCATGCATTCTACCCCACACAGGCTCCAAAATCAGGAGCAGAAACTTACTGGCTTTCATTCCTCCAGCAGGAGGATTGGATAACCCTAAGAGTTATAAGAGACAGCCTGCAGATCAGAGAAAGTGATGAAAACACTGCATGTAATGAATTTTAGAGTTATTTGCATACTACCTTTCTGGTTGTGACATATTTTGTGTGCATAGATTCAATGAAAAATAAAACACTCCTCAGCTTTTGTTTCACTTTTGAAAACTCAATTTATGATTTGAGTATTTTTCTATTGTCCTTATCAGCAGTCAAAATTCTATTTATTTGTTCTCATATGAATAAAGTGTAAATAGATGGACATCTAGGCTGTGACCCGAACATCTCAAACATTAGAAGTCACAAATGCCAATTCTTGGGCCCTGCCCTTTGTGATACTGGCGTCAACGCTCTGAAGACCACACTTTGGAAAGCACTGAATTTCCTTAAGCTTTTCAGTTTAAACCTGAGTTGCAAACAAAAATACATGCATGTAGGAAGCAGAAAAGGGTAACAAATGGATAGAGTGTGATGCGGTGGAGCTCACAGGCACCATCTGCGGTTGGGGAATGCATGTGGCAGAGTGGGTGGCGGAGGGTGACTGACCTTGATTTAACCTTACTAAGGGATGTTGAATAATGTGGCTAACAGTTGTACAGTTAAGCAGGTGCACCCTCAAGGGCAACTGCAGGAAGTACAGATAAAGAATTACAAAGAACAGAACATCGGAATAAGCCTGATAAAGAATTATGCAGGGTGGGTATATACATACATAATGAGTGAGATGTGCACCATCTGGGGGATGGTCATGATGGAGACTCAGACTTTTGGGGGGAGGGGGGGAAATGGGCATTTATTGAAACCTTAAAATCTGTACCCCCATAATATGCCAAAATAAAAAAAAAATTAAAAAAAAAAAAGAATTATGCAAAAGGCCCTCAGAGTAAGCACAATGTACCTAATGTACCTTTCATGCAAAGAGGATGGATAGCTGCTGGCCATTCTCTGAAGGAGGATAATGTCTAACAACACTAGTGTTAATCACATATAAATAGAGATACAAATCAAGTATAATTTGGTAGTCACTTAGCCACTACCTGCATGCTTCATGTATTGTACTTTTTTTGTCCTCAATACTACAGTTAGGTAATTCTGTCTTTATGGACTAGTGATTGGCAGTTGGTCCCCAGCAGTGGCCATGACAACAGAAGTCCAACTAACCTTGTAGAGAGGCAGGGACTAGTGTTGCCAGATGTTCATATTCTATAAGGGATTCCAGAAATTTTCATTTCTAGGTCAGAGCTACAGCTTTTAAAATGATGGTTACTATTTAAAGTTTAAAAAAATATTTCACCTGAGGGTGAAATCTCAGCCCCAGGCCACCGATTTGTCATCTCTAGTAACAGCTTGCTCTCCTTCACCACAATATATACTGAGAGAAAAGGCAGAAAAGCCATGTTCAAGTTTTTATGTTCTCCTTTCTTTTTAATGAACAAAAAGGACTCTTTTTAAAAACACCCATACATTAGCCAGAAAACTATTGACCCTAATTACAACATCAACTAAAAGAAAGACCAACATACATATATACACATGTAGGTTAAATGCTATACATAAATTGACATGTTTAAAATGCCTTTTACTTTTTTTTCAAAGTATGTCCCAATTATGCTATTTATTTTGTATACAGTGATAGAATACAAATAGCAATATGCTAGGACAAAATATAGGCAGAGCTTAAAGAAATGGGCTTAATTATACTGACCATGGAAGTCATGCTTCCATACTTCATACTGTTTTGAAAAAAAGGAACCAAATCCAATAAACAGAAAACAAAAGAAAGAGAGAAGCCAAACTTATGAAAGAGAGAGAAATACAACCCCGTGCATAACGCGCGCCTTCCCTGGGGCGGCTCCTTACCTGAGGGTTCGTCGGAGGGTTCCCATCGGTACTGTGGGGTCGAGTACAGGTCGGCTTTGCCAGGGCCATTCTCCATGGGGAGGCTGGGGTGGATGGTGTGGTAGTCCACAGGGTTTCCATTCACAGTCACAAGCAGGCCCTGCATGGGTGCAGGGAAAATGACACCTGTCACAGCAGCTCTGGGTTTCTAATGTCAATATTCCCACCCTCCCTTCCTCACCTGGCAGTGAAGAGCTGAGTGCAAGCTGAACAATTTAGTCAACTATCCAAATATCTCAGCAAGATGTATCTTGCACATTCCCTCTCCAAATCCAGCCTCCATAAAGTGATCGCTATAAAAGGTGTATCAGATCTGATCTCACTTCTGTTGCAAACTGTGTGATGTACCCTCTGTGCTCAGTATAAAGTGCAAATGCTCCTAAAAGGCTGTCTGAGCCCTTCAGGATCTGTTCTTATTTCTTGGTTTCTTTAGCACTCGCCACTGTCTACCCCTTAGCCATCCTTCCAGCTCTATGGGACTCCACACCTTTCCTGGTCCTGGACCCAACTCTGCCCTGCCTCACACCCCATGTAGCTCTGCACAGGATGAATGCAAATGTCCTTCAGGTCTCAGCTGACACAGCACCCTCTGGTGTCTTTGTCTGACTGCAAGATTGCAATTCCCTCACTGCCTTGCTAAGTACAACTGCCTGTTTTTTCCCTCTGTCTTTTTGCCTTTACAATTTTTGAAACAAACATACAAATACACATATGCACAATGAACATGCAAGACTTCCTATTTAAAAAATGTAATAGGCATATTTACAAAACAAAATGATTTTAAAAACACCTCACAAAAAAGGCTTTTTAGAAGTTTAAATACATTATATATGATTACACTCAATCTCATATCATATGAGTTACTGTTTTAACAACAATCAACTAGATATAATTTCTGAAAAATTTGAAAAGCTTATGGAAATTTTATAGATCACTAAAATATTCTCAAAAGAGCTAATTCCATTTCAGTCAGTCACTTTCACATCACTTACATAAGAGTACATGATAATTCTAAGGGTATACTAACATCAGATGGCTTGTAGTCATCCTGGGTCATGGATAGAAGCTGCAAAGAGCAAAGCAGGATAGCATGTTAGTAAGGAAGCTGAAAGCATTTAATGCTAAACATTTAATGCTTCACTATATAAATACCCATTCTCTTTAACTCACTGGTGGCTAGTATGTTTAAACTGCCATGCAAAATATAAAGGGAAAAATAATTGAATTGGATGTTGCTGTTTATTATAACTATTTTCCAGCTTCTGAGGTTAACTTTTAATTATAACAGCAAATAAGCAACAATAAACTGCATGACCATAGAAGTTACTATGTTTTTCAATTATTTTGTTCTAATAGAATAAGCAGCTTAGTTTTATTACTCCTGGAACCCTTTAAGAAATCTGCAGAACTTTGAAAATATTTACTTTTCAGAAAGTAGAAGTTTCATGATAAAAAACTGATTTGTAGTAGAGTTTGAGCTTATTTTAAGACTTGCATACTGTCTACAACAAAATAATTATTATATGACTGTGCTTTTGAACCATATTAGTGTCAAGTGGTTTGGGCTTCCCCCAAATAATCATTAGCACAGCAAGTGGTTCTGTGACATTTTTGATTCAGGAGTCATTTACATTCTTAAAAATCACTGAGGGTCCCAAAGAGCTTTTATTTTTGTGAGTTCTATCTCTCAGTGCCTACTGTATTAGAAATTTAAGTGGGCATTTAAAGATATTTATTAACTCATTAAAAGTTTTAAAAAACCACTATATGTTAACATAAATAAATGATTCAAATAGCTATATTTTTATAAAAACTCTTTTTAAAGTTTCATTATTTTATACTTTTGCATAGCTTTTAAATGTCTGGCTTTTTAATAAGAGACAACTGGACTTCCAGATCGGTTTCTGTGTCCAATATGCTGTGATATGCTGTTTTGGTTGAAGTATACGAAGAAAATCTGGTTTCTCAGATGTATTCATTGAAAAGGAAGGACTATTTTAATAGTCTAACTAGATAATTGTGGATAGTAATTGCTACTACATCAAGCTCAACCAGTGGTAGTTTCTTGAAGGTCAGTTGTGCTGTGGAATCTGAGACTACATTACTGACCTTTTCATACTCCGTAACATTAAAACCCATTAATATATCTTACACCTTAAGCAGTGATTATTTTGAGGCTGTTGGTTTGGTAAGTTATACAGTTCTATCAAGTACTGACACATTTCATTATGTGATATTTGAAAAGCACATTTATTAACATCACAATGATCTCATCAAAAAAGCCCTTAAATATTAAAAGTTGTCAAGCTCTCAGTGGTGGATGCAAGTTTTCCAAAATTCTAAATTTTACTCAAGTACTGAAATTTTATCATTGCAACAAATGCTATTAGCTGTTTGCCTCTAAGTGTCAGGCTCCATTTATTTTTAAGAAATTGTCTGTCACATACCCAAATCTGAATAACTGTATTTGTCCATAGTTGTTCCTTTGGGTAAAAGTGGCTGCTATGGAAACACAGCGAGTTGAGCTCGCAATGCCTTTACTGGGCCCTGTACTTTTTATCATGACAGCAGTCATACTTTGTACATGGCACATTATGCAGACTTCCCATTTTGTCACACAGAATACAAAAAGACGTGCATGCCAAGGTTGAGATTTACGAAAATTAATAACTCTTTCTGGTTCATCGAGGATTTTCTTAAGTGAAACCAGCCTTGCTGTTCTGTCTTCCGTGTGAGCTTGGCAATGAACAGCTCGACCTACGATCACTACTCTGCGCTTTGGGGCCTCCACCTTGGTTTGGTGTCCAGTGCCGGCAGTTTACCCACTGTTACTTTTGTACCATCAAGGCAAAGATCTTATGTATTAGTATAGAAATAGTTTGGAGCTTGAGGACCCCTGCAAGGGTCTCAGAATCCCCAGGGGTCCACAGGCCTCACTCTGAAAACAGCTGGCCTATTGTCTGTTGATATCTGTCCTTTACTGAAATGTGAAAGATCATCCCGAAACTTGGTGAAGTGAGAGAGAAGAAATGGCCCTTGAAAGTCCCCAGATGTCTCAGGGCCCCATCTCTGCTCCACAGTGCTGTCACCCCCTAAGACAGCTCACTCACTGTCCTATCCTGTCTCAGCGCAGGGTAGCAGCACTGAGAGTAGGACCTTGTGTCTTAGAGAAACTCACCTGCCATCAAAGGAATCAGAGAACCCACTCCTCAATTCTCAGACATGCAGGGGGACAAAATGCTGACCCCATCCAAGAATTATGAGTATTTGTCTTTACAACGTTGCAAATAGGCCATTTTAACAAGTCAATAAAGCATTGACTCAGTTGAGTTCAAAATGGTCAATAAGTGATTAAAAGGTCATATGAATTATTTATTATATATAAAATATATGAGTTGTCTGAATTATCCAATTGTAATTCACTTTTCTTTGTCAACAAACACAGCTTCCTCAAAGTATTGAGAGATCCTCCAGCATATTCATACAGACTGTTTGGGTCTTCTCCAAGTGGTTATTGAGCTACTATTGTGGCCAGTTACCCCATTAGAGTGAAATTATTTTTTGCAATGTATTTCAACTTTGAAACTTTCATTCCCTCAGTGCTAACAAATTGCTTTGTTATATTTTGTTTGTTTTAAATATAAAATTATTTTTTAAAAAATTAACAACATTCTTTTTAGGATTAAGAGACTTCAGTAGGAAATACTGAAATATAAAATGCTATTCTTGTAGGGTCTGATGGGACTGTGATATTTCCTCTGGAAATCTTATGTTTTCTCTCTGAATGGAGCTCTCTGGTACTAAGCCTCCTAAATCAAACTATGTCTATAAACTGTGAGCAACTTGAATTTACATATGATATGATTATATAAGGGTCATATTCAACAGTAAAATACAGAAATAGAAAAATAAATTCGAGAATGGGAATTCCTTTCTTCATAGCTTACTTTTCTCTCATCTGTGGGGTAATGGGTTGCATACCACAGGCTCCGTCTCCTCTCGGCTGTTATTTGGATGGGGCTACAAGCCAGGGCTCTGTCCTCTTCCCTGGGCCTTTCATCCTGCACCTGAAACACAAAATCACAGGAACAGCTCTGCTTGCTGCGGCAGCTCCCTAAGCAGCCTGGGTGGCCACGAGAGAGCTTTGCATCTTTGCCTCAATATGACAATTTTTCAAAGTGAATGTTTACAATATATGGGATTCAATCTAGATACTTTTAAAAATGACAAAAATGCTGTTCTGTAATTGATAAATACATAATATTAAATATTCCCTGATTTCTACTAAGCCCCATCCATTACACAATATACTCTAATGTTAAATATCCACAGCTTTTCCACGTGTGTTCTAAATTGCAATAGAAAGCAGCTATGTAAATGTTCTTAGAATGCAGTTAACACTGTAAGCCTACGCCAGCCATTGGCAATTTTTAATTAACACAGTATTAGAAAGGGGAAATAAAGGCAAACTGAAGTCTTCTGTCACTGAAAGGGAAAAGAGGGGAGCCACCCAGTCTCGGTCCTCTCAGTGCTGCGTCCTTGCTAATGTTCCCATAGGGAATAAACTAGTCCTCAATTGTGCAGGAAGGAAATATCCTAATCCCCATCTTTCCACAATGGGATGCCCAGGAGGCTACAGGCACCAGGGAGAGCTAAGCTATCACTCTAACGTCCTCAGAGGCTAAGAGGGCTACAGGAGATTTGGGAACACCAATCACCACGTCAAACAGGGGTGTGTGGTCTCCGGGACTCGAGCTTTGTTGGCAAACATGGGTTTGAATCTGATCTGTACCATTCAGTAAATGTGAGATTTCAGAAAAATTTACCTCTCTAACCTCATTTTCCTCATCTGTAACAGGTGTATAATACCTATTCTTCAGAATTATTTAGTGGATTAAATGGGATAATATATGTAAACAGCCAAGCATATTATTGGGCACTTAGTAAGTTCCCAGTAAAATCGAGTCTTCCATTCTCCTCACCACCTGTCATTCTTAGTAGCACACAGCGATATCAGCAAAGGGAAGCTAGTCTTCCTCCTGACAGTATTCATATTCACTTAATACTCTTTGAAGAATTAATACACTACAACCATAACATTAGAGTGATATTGAATACAGTACTGATTCATCAGGAGGTGGTAGGAATGAATCATTTCACATGGAGATCAGGTTGCTTTGTAGACAAGATCATGAAAACCTTTTTATTCTTACTAGGGGTTCTTGCAGCCAGATGCGAATCAGAGTGGCCAGAGTATAGTACATCACTAGCAGCAGGATGGGGTTGGCGTGGTGATACCACGACAGTTCTGGGTTTACTATGATCTTCCAAGTACTCGAACAGTCTGTTTGAATTACTGATTTGATACCAAATAACCTGTTAAAAAACAAAGAAAAATGCTTTAGGAATGCAATAAGCTATATGTACCTGACATAGCATGAAAATACCTCGTTTTTAGTATTCATGAGCTATTCCTATTTTAATCTAGCCTATTGTAGATGTTTTAATATTTCAACTACCCTTCTGTATATATAACTATATCTTTAAGTAATATATGTAGACATATATAATATACATATAATATATACATCCTAAAATCATATGTGGTTGCATGTATAAAATTGATGCTGACACTAAACAGAATATACCAGATGATCTACCAGTTCAAATATCTAGCTAATACTAAATCCTTTCACACCTATTAGAAACTTATGTTTTAATTGTCAATCAGCCCTAGTAAAAGCCTGCATTATTAAAATGCCAAGTATGTGGTAACATGTTGCTAAGTCTAGCTAAATGAATGAGTATTTTGTTTTTGACTAAATTTAGCATTAGTTACTCAGTTAGTATTGATATTATTGGGCAAATATTGAAATTGGAGATAGTTCAGCCATAAAAGTCACATATTATATAGTGAATTTCTGTAAGATATATATTTCTGTCAAATTTCATTTATGGGAAATGTGATATTTCAAAGCTTTGTAATTAATCATTTACTTTGATATGACTTTATGAGATTTGTTAAATTTTGAAATGGTTTATTTTTTATGCTAATTTCTACTACATAACAGAATGTATCTGATTATATTAAAGACAAAATACACAAACATGATTCATTTAGAAATGTATTTTGAGGTGTAATTTTCCTAAGAAAATACTACTAAATGTATAAAACTTTTACATGTTAAATGTTTCATACCTTTGTTTTTTTTGCATCTTTTATGTGTGAACTTTCTTTCATTTTTATCTTACATTCTTCATTCAGTTAAAATATCTGCAATGACTGTATGTCCTTCAGTTGTAAAACCTGTCAGTACAATTATTGTTTATCTCAATGCAAGTGCAAGCTTAGTGTATTTATGGATGCAGATTTTAAAGTAAGCTTAATAAAAATTAAACTAACTTTCTCCAATTTTATCAGAAAAAAAGTTATACTAAAACTTGCTGTGAGTATAGGTCTTTTTTTCTTAAGTCCAGGCAGATTTTTTTTGTAGTTAGCATTTGAAAGAAAAATTTCCTAAATGAAAAAGGGTTATGTCCCACTTAGAATGGTGGGACTTTCTAAAAATGTTTTAGCAGCCTTAGATTAAAATGTAAATTTCCAGTCTAAAGTATATAGAACTGAAAGCTTTTTAGATGTAAAATCAGACCAGCTGGATAGTCTTTTTTGGGTTAGGTTCTAGCTACCAAGTACCCCTCCTTCTTGCCCCATACCTGGCACATAAGCTAGAAATAACCACATCAATCCTCAGTTTAAAAATACCTGCTTTGCCCAATCAGAAATTTAATTGTAATTTTGGCAGCTGTTTGTAAACAGAACTAGGCACCTTCTAAAAGACTTCATATCCCATTGACACTTCATACCTCACCACTGACATCATAACTGAATCCAAACTGATTTTGTACATTTCTACATGAAAACTCAAGAATCACACTTAACATTTTTTATTGCCAGTGTATGGACCTAACAGAAATGAGCAGAAACTATAGAATGGCAGCTTGTTGTCCCCTATAGAAAATGTTTTCTAATAGAGATATGAAAATACTATAAGCTCTAAGATTTCTATTTTTTAAGAGACTAGAATCTGTAGAAAAAATTCATAAACAGAATGAGAAATTTGTATTTGAAGTTCACATTCTTTTTGGCGCTGCAATTCTGGGACACTATGCAGCATCCATCTAGTATTTACTTTACTTAACCTTTATTTTCCAGGATTGCATCTTGATAGAGACACGTGAAGAAAAGTGACATCATAGCACCTGCCATCCATGAATTGTTCTGTCTGCAATCATATGATCTTGTGATATGTTTACTTGGTCAGAGCAAGATTTCATGGAAACTCTCTCTGTCTGTGGGTACTGGGGATGGATGCTGGGAAAAGTAGCTAGGAAGAAGAAAGAAGGGTATGGAATAGTTAGCCCAAAAAGGCTAGATGAGTAGATGCAAGAGAAGAGAAATCTCAAAGAACTGGTGAGATGTTGGTAGGTGGTGGGCTGAGGCTGGGGCTAGAGAGTCGGAGATTGGGCACAGTGACAGCAAAGACTTTCACCAATGACGCATCAGTAGATGTTTACTAACTTCATTCTATCTTGAGAGATACCCACATAATTCCTAGTGTCTTCACAGTGGTCCTGGTCTAGCATTCAAATGGATTAAATAAAACTATTAATATTTTTAAAATGTGTTGGTCACTAAAAGCACTCACAATGACTACCTTAAATCCCTCCATAGAAACCTATCTTTGCCTGAGAAGTATAAGATGACACGGCTATGGAGCAGTGCATTCCAATTTATTGCTTATTTGGAAACAGAAAGATAAAGCATTTCTCTCCCATGTATTTGTAATATTCCTGTTTATCTTTGATCCCAGACCCAGCTCTACTGATAAAGTATACAGATGTATTTGGTAAGTGACTCGCCATCTCTGAGTGTTCAGTTCCTAATGAAATCTAATAAAGTTGGTGGCAGAGGTGTGAGGATATAAGTATGTGGAAAACAAAGGAAATTTTGGAGATCTTATCCTAAATACTTAAGATCCTACAGACTTTTCTATTTCCCAAAGGATGGCTGAAGACAGTTCCAAGTGATGTCCAGTTCCAGGTAGATACATCAGATCCTTGGGGCACACACTCCTGCTTTGGTACCTGGTCTGTCTGCTTTGATATTTCATGGCCAACATTTCTGTCCATAGAACAAATTTTGTTTCTCTTCTTGGACAATTAAAATGCCAAGGGTGCTCTCCTTGTCCCTAGTTTCTCTCCCTGCCACATTGTGACCACTGCCAGAGTTGCCTTCCGAAAGCTCAGGTTCAGCATGCCACCTTCCACTTCCTATTTCTCATTCCCCCATTGCCTAGAGAAGAACCCCAAGTCCTAACAAAGTATCCCTGAGGTCTTCAGCAACCTGGTCTCCTCTTCTTTCTCCCAGGCATGTAAACTTGAGCTTCACTGGACTGTTTGGGGTTTACCATAAAATCTCAGTCCCTTTGGTCTTGCTATTCTTTGTCTTTTCAGTAGTTGTGACTTTTATGGGGTCACCAAATCAAGAATGTACCAGGTGAGCTTTACCCACCCCCTGGCACAGAGGATCCAAGGACTAGGTGAGGCATGGCTTCATAGACTCTTTATCATCTCTCAGGGTAACTTCAGCTCCCAACTCCACTGCATCCCATAATATGTACAATATGTATTCCTACTAGGTATGCTCAGTCATCCCAAAATATTGCAGGGGTCACTCAGAAGACCAGCTGTCTAGGATGCATAATTATATTACTTCCATGGCCTCATCTGAACCTTTATGCTAATTTACCACAATTGGTCTTTGCTGTAAGCATAGGTTCTTCTTCATTCTTCCTTTCCATCCAGATATGCTCTATAGTTAGTGTAAAACAGTACCCAAAATCCAATTTCCAACACACTTCACTCATGTTCCTTCTTTTACTCCATTTGTTGCTGGTAGTTAACAGCCTTGACATCACCAAGGTCTAGCTCCACAGGCACTATCTCTAAGAAACTTCTACGATTTCTCCTCATTAGAATCAATTTGCCTTATGCTCCACAACAATTGTATTTGTAGTTATAATTTGAATTTTCACTATTTGTAGTTTTTGTGTTTGTTGCACTGCCCACTTTGATTCTAATTCCTTCGAAAAAGGGTGTATGTCTTTTTGTCATATACTGCTGTCTTTGTGGCAGTGCTTAGTGCATATTAATACAAGGCTTTAAACGTAAGTTTATTTAATTGAATTAAATACATGAAGAATAAGTTATACCATGAAGTTATAGCAGGTGATCATGATGCTGATAAGAGTAGAGACTAAGGGATGGCAAAGCTCTTGCTTTTAAAAAAGAAAGAGAGAAAGAAGGGGATAGTAAGAAACTGTGGACACACAAGCACATTTTACAGTTTTTAGAGAAACACTGTTGCTGCTCAAACCCCAACATCCATGATTTTTGTGCTCTCAATTTGAGAAATAAGAACACAGAATAAGGGTATAACAAAGGCAACAACAATAAGAAAACCACTTTAACTTCTTTGAAGTATATCTTGGGCCCTATATAGCAGATGACTATTTCTGTTCTCTATTGGCTGCAAACAACAATCTTGAACTTTATCTTCTGAATGAACCAATATATAATGTGGACTTAAGAGATAACGCTAGTTAGTTTTTAAAACTGAGAATCCAGATTTATAATTAAGAAACAATAAGAGATTTAAAAATCTAATAAGAACAAAATATGAAGCAGTCTGGAGGATTCCTTCAAGATCCTACAGCTGCACTCTACTCAAGTGACCGTGGGCAAACATTCATTCCATGTTTGTGGTGCTAGAGGGCATCACAGCCACAGGAAGTGTCCCTCATCACATCACTTGGATTATCCTCCCACTGTAGGGCCAAGTGTCCAGTTGATCTTCTCAGCATGGCTGGCCCTCTATGGACTCTTTACAGATGTCTATCCTGTTGCCCCATGGAGCACTTATTTTGCACTTTTTTCTCTCCCTCTGAAGCATTCATAACATCTGACAACATATGGTGAGCATGAATTGGCAGGGAATTTGTTTCTACTTGCACATGTTGGCAGATTTACAAAATCTCCACCTGTTTTCAGGTTCACTCCAGATCACATCTGCCTGGTCTCTAGTAATACAGAAACCCAGCCATTTGCAAAAAACACGTAATACTGAAAATAACAGCACACTTTTAAAACACTTTTAATTGTGGCAAAATACATATAATCATAAAATTGACCATTTTAACAATTTTTAAGTGTACAGTTCAGTGGTATTAACTACATTCACATTGTTGCAGAACATTTCGTCTCGCAGAACTGAAACTCTATACCCATTAAACAACAATGCCCTATTTCTTTCTCCTCCTGGCCCCTGGAAACCACCATTCTACTTTCTGTCTTTATGAATTTGACTACTAGGTAGCTCATATAATTGGAATCACACAGTATTTGTCTTTTAGTGACTGTCCTATTTCACCTCGTATGATGGCCTCAAGGTTCATTCATGTTGTAGCATGTATCAGAATTATCTTCCATTTTATAGCTGAATAATATTCCATTATATATCCATATATATCATTATATATATAATACATATACTGTATGTATGTAGTACCACATTTTGTTTATCCATTCATATGTTGATGAGCATTCTACTTTTGACTATTGTGAATAACACTGCTATGAACATGGGTGTACAAATATCGCTTCAAGATCCTGTTTTCTTATAAAATGACTTTTTTGCCTTTGGGTACACTGATAGCCTTGACTTCAGTATGACACAATTCATCAATGTAACAAAAAACACTTGTACTCCCTAACTTTTTTAAATAAAAAGAAAGAGAGCCTGTTTTCAATTATTTTAGGTATATATAAGCAGAAATGGTTATATGGTGATTCTATTTTCAATAGAGGAATCTCCTCTATTGTTTGGGGAACCACCATACTCTTTTCCATAGTGGCTGTACCATTTTACATTCCCACCAGCAGTGCACTAGTGTTCCAATTTCTCCATATTCATGCCAATTCTTGTTATTTTATATCTTTTGAGAGTAGCTATCTTAATAGATATAAGATGGGACACTGTAGCTTTTTTTTTTTTTTTTTTTTTTGAGACAGAGCCTTGCTTTGTTGCCTGGGCTAGAGTGCAGTGGCGTCAGCCTAGCTCACTGCAACCTCAAACTCCTGGGCTCAGGAGATCATCCTGCCTCAGCCTCCCAAGTAGCTGGGACTACAGCTGTGTGCCACCATGCCTAGCTAATATTTCTATTTTTGGTAGAGACGGGGTCTTGCTATGTTACTCAGGCTGGTCTCGAGCTCCCAGCCTCAAGCAATCTTCCCACCTCAGCCTCCCAAATTGCTAGGATTACAGGCGTGAGCCACTGTGCCTGGCTGTACACTTTTAATTTAGGCTTTTTTCCTCAAGAGATCAGAGTTCTAAGTCTAAAGCAAATTTTAATTTTTTTTAGGAAGCCAGGAAATATATTCAGTCCAACTAGCATAAAATGATTATTTGGAGGCAAATAATCCTTTAGAGAAAACATCTTTTAATAGTCTTTTCTTTTTTAACCTCACATCCTTTAATTGAAATAAATGGGGCACTGAATGTAGGAAGTAATGGCAAAGGAAAATTGTGCAGAAGAGGCAGATGTTCCTCAGGAAGTTGGAGAATTTGAGTATAAAATACAGGCACGAGGTCAGAAACCAGACTCAAAAGAGAGGAGGCTTGTTGAAGCATGGCTTAGAAGTTTGTGCCTTGTCAGAACCCCAGAGTGATCAGTCAAATGCTATTTTCATACCAGTTTCCCTGGAAAGGGGCTTGGTGGCAGATCCCAAGCAGAGGATTTAGAAACTTCAGGACACAAAAGAAGCTAAGTGAATCAGTAGCCGTTATCAGTAATCAGTGAGACACATTCATTTCTCGCCACTGAGTTTCCGGGAACAAGTAGCAAGCAGCCTTGAAGAGGGAGGAAATCTTGTTTCTAGAAGCAAGTCCTGGTTCAGAGGAAAGTGTAGAACCTTTAGGATTAATTGTGTTTGAAGGTGTAATGCTAACAACCACTACTGCTACCCATAGATGGTCCTTGGGGATTTAAATCTTTAAGCAAACATGGGTACCCCGCAGAAACTTGTAGAATGAATTGTGGGGCAAAATGGCCAGGCACTAAAAATTACCAACTTCTCTTTTTCTTTCAGCCCCTGCCCCTCCTTTCCCCACCCTAATAGCCATAAATCTAATACCAACAAAACATGGATTTTATATTTAATGGATAAAAAAAATATGAAGATTCAGATGGCACATATTCTACTTAATATTAATATATTGATTTTAAAACACAGCTTTGGAATTAAATTGCCTTAGCATGAACTCACAATAAACTTGCAAAAAATCAGAGGCTATAGGACTGAATGGAAAGAATAGAAATATAGGCACAGATTCAAATCCTGCCTGTATTATTACCTATGTGACCTTGAGTATGACATTTAACAACTTTAAGCCTCAATTTCTTCATTTAGAAAATGAAGCTAGTAAATAATGTATCCTGAAGAGGAGTTGTGAAGATTAGAAATGATAGGCACAAAACTTTTGAAAAACATCCCTGTCAGTTCAACTTAGAACTGTTGACATGGGTGGGGCCTTTTGGCCGGAGCCACCATCTTCCAGTAATGCACCAAAACAACCAACACAAAGGGAAAGAGGAGAGGCGCTAATACCTGTTCTCTAGGCCTTTTAGAGAACATGGTGTTGCTCCTTCGGCCATAAAAATGGGAATCTATTAAAATAAGAAAGACGATATTGTAGATATCAAGGGAATGAGTCCTGCTCAAAAAGGCATGCCCCACAGATGTCACCATGGCAACACTGGAAGAGTCTACACTGTTACCTAGCATGCTGTTGGCATTATTGTAAATAAACAAACAAGTTAGGGTAAGATTCTTGCCAGGAGAATCAATGTGTGTATTGAGCATATTAAGCACTATAAGAGCCAAGACAGCTTCCTGAAACATGTGAAGAAAAAGAAGGAAGCCAAAGAGAAAGGTACCTGGGTTCAACTGAAGCACCAACCTGCTCCACCCAGAGCAGCACATTTTGTGAGAACCAAAAGGAGTATGACCTGCTGAAACTCATTCCCTATGAATTCACAGCACAGTAGGCATAGCACACTTTGTGAGGCGCAGGGTAAAGAGTCTGAGGTGCCAGAACCTGTTCCTTACGAATTCATGGGAAATAAAAGACTCCTGGACTGTATAAAAAAAAAAGAATTGTTGAAATGGAGTTTGAAAATGTCCTATTTAAAACTGTTTTGGATTGTAAGCTAGATGGTCACTAGATTTCTTGTGTGATAGCTATTAACTTCTCTTTTGTATAAAAGTACAGATGTACATAGTTCAAAAGTTACATATGTGTGTGTGTGTGTGTATATATATATATATATATATATATATATATATATATATATAAATGATATATCTTTTGTTTGGACAGCAATGTTCCTAGGTAATATTTGTGGGTGCTCTTATTGGGGAACAAATGGAGAACAATCTCTTACTGGTAACTTAAAGTTAAAATCTGAATATTTATGTGTACTTTCTTCTCCAAGAAAAACAATTCCAAAATTCTGCCCAGTTATACAGCTCACCGGTTGGGTTGCTGGGCGTGCTTCGTCGGTTCCTACAGTTCAGGCTAGCTCCTCCCAGGCCCACACAATTGACCCGATATGCTGCAGTGGTGTAGTAACACCTTAAGTGCTCCCAAGACTTCCACTTGGAAACAGGGGCACACACCACAGGCACTAGGCTGCAGTTATGATCAAATATCACTAGACAGGAACTGGGAAGACTTCCTGCCTGGTGCTGGACCTTCCGCTGGCTCTCATGACCCATTGCTTTGATCTCTGCCAGTCGGAATCCTGTCCATTTCCAGACACATCTTGTGGGATATGTGTGGTTGACATTTTGGTGTCCCACAACAGTGGTATATGCATTTCCCATGCTCAGAGTTACGACAGTGGCAGCCCTAAGAGTAGCTTTACTAAAAATTGTACACTAAGCAATTGGAGTTATCAATCAATAATTAAAGATTTTAGATTTCAGTTTTGTCATCATGGCAAAAAATAAAGCTGAGGACATAAGTGTTGCAAATGTATTCCAAAGAGACCAATGGGAAGAACTTGAAACTGCCTCTGTGATTAGATTTTAACAGTGCTCTATCAATGTTTAACATGCCACTGAACAAAAAGTCAAAGATGGACAGTTCTGGGTTGGGCGACTCTGCACAGTCCCGCAGGCGGTTTTCTCTTTTCCCTTCTGCTGTTCTCAGGACACTGTTGGCAGCCACCTTCGTGGCTTTTTCTCTCATAGTCACAAGAAAATGCTGCAGCTTCTCACATAAAATCTTCACAAAACTTCATTGAGAAATGGAGAAAAGGTGAATCTCATTTCAAGAGCTTTTTTTTCTAAATTTCTATCTGGAATCATTTTCCTTTAGTCTGAAGAACATCGTTTACCAGTTTATATAGTGCAGGGCTGCTAGTGCTGAATTCTCTGTTTTTGTGGTCTAAGAATATCTGTATTTGATCTTCATTGTTTTCCACCTACATCTTTAGATGTGAAATTGTAAGTTCATAGTTTTGGTTTTTTTTCTTTCAAAAGCAATTTTAATAATATTGTCCTATTGCTTTTTGTCTGGCATCATTTCTGGTTAGAAAAGTGTGATAATTCTCACCATTGCTCCCTTGCACATAATGTGTTTTTTTATTTGGCTGTTTTTAATGTTTTTGTCTATCACTGGTATTCCAAAATTTAATTGTATTGTGCTTTGATGGAACTCCATGTTTTTTAGATTGGGGTCTGTTGAATTCTTGGATCTGAAAATTTATATTTTCCATAGTATTTGGAAAACATTTGGCCATTATTTACTAAAATATATTTTTCTGTGTTCACATTTTTCTGAGACTCCAGTGACATCTGTGTTAAACCTTTGAAATTATCCTATAGGTTATTGTGGCTCTGTTTTTTTGTTTTGTTTTGTTTTCTCAATTTATTTTCTCTCTGTGCTTTGATCTGGGTAGCTTCTATCACCCTATCTTCAAGTTCATCAATCTTTTCTTCTGAGTGTCTAATTTTGCTCTTAAGCCCATTGAGTGAATTTTTAAATATCAGCTGTGTTTTTTAAAGCTCTCTTAGTTCCATTTGTTCTCTTTATCAGTTATTTTTTATACATTATTTTTGTCTTCATTATGTTCATGTTCTTTAGTCTGGAAAATATTTTAAAGAGCTGTTTTTAAAGAGTTTGCTATTTCTAGGTCAGTTTTCATTGATTGAGTTATTTCTTGCTTTTTTTTTCACAAGTCTAAAAATTTTCAACTGGTTGCTGGATGTCATTATTTTTACCTTATTGAGTGTCTAGATTTTGTTGTCCTTCTTTAAAGAGTGTTGAATTTTGTTTTGGCGGGAAGTTAAGTTACTTGCATATCAGCTTTATCCTAGCCAGCTTGTTTTTGTGTTTTGATATGTTGCATCTAGAATAGCCTTTATGGTATGACTAGCTTAGCCCCAGTAGAGCAGAAGTCTCTTCATTGTGGCCAGAACTATGTTATCTCGGCCCTAAATGAACTCGGAGAGTTACTGAGTTTATAGTTCCTCAATATTTTTTTCTGTTCCCAGCAGTTTTGCTTTGCCTGACTTCATGGAGTCCCACCCTATGAATGCACAGCTCAGCATTCAGCTAAAGGATTGGGTGACCCCATGCAGATTTCTGGAGCTCTGTCTTTGCCTAACTTCCTCCTCTCCATGACCCTGTGCCACAAACTTCAGCCCCTACAGCCTCTCCAAATTCTGATCTCCATTTCTTCAGCTCAGCAAGATTGCCATGCTAGACTTGGATTCCCTTTCCCATATGATGTGCAATAAATGGTACCAGGTAGAAAGCTGGAGTAATTATAGAGCTTATCCTGCATGTTCCCTTTCCTTCAGGCATCATAATCCTACACTTCCAATTGCTCCATGTCTGAAAACAGTTGTTTGATGTATGATGTCTAGTTTTCTCTTTGATTATGGGGAGGAAGGCTAGTGAAGTACACTTCACGTATCTTAACACTTGCCAATATGCACACATACTTGCATAATCATCGTCTACCTACCTACCACCTAGATGTAGAATGTTCTGGTTAACAGAAAAATTTTATCATAGGTTTACTCTATATAAACACAATCTAAATAATAAATATGTGATTTGTGAACAGCCCATACATGAAAATGAATGATTGTACCTTAACTCATTTTCTCTCTTCTTACTTCATTTCAGATACAATCTAGAAGTTTTCCAGGTTGCTGGCATAAGGAAATATGAATCCTACATCCCTGCTGCCACCTTCTCCATCTACTGTGAGGAGAGGGATTCTACTAACATCACAGACTTTCTTCTTTCCTGTCTCTGTCCTCTTTCATGTCCTCACACATGTCCTCTTTCATCTTCTAAACTTCCATCTTTCTTGAATTCTCACCAAAGAATCTCAGAAAAATTCCTTCTTATCTTTTTATTCTCTTTTCATATTTATAAATCCAGAAGTGATTTAAATCATTAATTATAAATGCAATAGTGCTAATATAAGTATAAAATCAAAGTTACACATTTTTTAATGAAAATAGACTTAATAACACATTCCTTACAACACATTCCCTGCCTTAGTCTCTAAGGCCAGAGTTTCATCTCATCCCCTGAGTACCAAAGTGCTGTGTGCTCAGTGTCTGGTGGATGCTTCTTGATGCTTAAATGAGTTCAGTGTATGCTGAGATCAGCAAGAGAGAGGCAGGAACGCACAGGTGGACTTGTTTTCATGAACAGGAATGGGTGTGCCTTCTCTGTCTGGCCTTCAGGGACTCAGCCCCACGCTCTTCCTCCATGCTCCCCAAATGAAGTGTCATCACTCCCCCAAGACCTCTCATTCAGAGCCATCTCACAGCAGTTTCTCAGGTCCTTCCTTCGCTCTTGCTTGAAATTCCCTCCTCTCTCCCTAACAAGCTTTGCTGTGGGTTCATGCTGCTGCCTCCTCCAGGAAGCCTTCCCACAGTAAGTCGTGTCCTCACTGGGCTCTCTCCTCCCAACCTCTTACTCCTTACTTACCTCAGGTGATGGGCACTCCCTTACATTGTTATGGTCATTTGTAATGTTCAATGTAAGTTCCTTCACTTGCCTTAGCTTATGTGATTGATATTAATTTAATACTTCTAGCCAGGCACAGTGGCTCAAGCCTGTAATCTTGGCACTCTGTGAGGCTGAGGTGGGAGGATAACTTGAGCTCAGGAGTTCAAGACCAGCCTGAGCAAGAGTGAGACCCTGTCTCTACTAAAAATAGAAAAAATTAGCAGGGCATGGTGGTGCACGCCTGTAGACCCAGCAACTCAGGGAGGCTGAGGCAGGAGGACCCCTTGAGCCCAGGAGTTTGAAGTTGCAGTGAGCTATAATGACGCCACTGCACTCTAGCGGGGGTGACAGACAAGATTCTGTCTCAAATAAATAAATAAATAATATTTCCATGTGTACAGAACTCATCTTCTCAAAGATCCCCGAACTTCTCTTAAAAACAGGGTTTATAATTTATGCTTCTTTGCATCACACAGAGCATTTAAATCTGTTTCTCAAAGTGGGATGTTTTTAGATCACCTGGAGAAGCTGTTACAATGCTTGTTCCCAGATCCCAGCTCTAGGTATTCTGTGCTCCTAAGTCTGGGTGGGGCCCAGGATAAGCTTTTTTCAAACTACCCCTCTGGCCCCCAGTGCCTGTGATTCCCATGCTAACAAAGTTTGAAAAGCACTGATTAGCTCAGTGTTAGTCATAAAACAATGCTGAACACATCCAATCCAGAACATTTCTAATTTCCCTTTAGAATTGGGAGGAAGGGAGGGTCCACATGAAGGACAGGGGACCATATGTTCACAAGTTATAATGCAGGTGTTTTAGTTATTTTATGGAGGCTCAAACAGACTCTATGATCCACATGAGTAAGGTGGATATGAATTTGAGAGACAAGGATGCTTGTGTGCAGAGAGGCCAAGTAATAAGTGATTTACCCAAAGTCCACAGCATCCAGTGGGTAGCTGAGCAACATTTGAACAGAGACACAATTGCCCCATGGAGATGGGAGCAGTATGTTGTTTACTTCAGGAAGAACAGAGAAAGTAAGTGGTTAATAATAGTATTTATTTAATGATTGAACAAAAGCAGGCAGGAACTACCTAGGCAACTTAAAGTTCTGTAATTCCACCAATTCCCTCAGTAGCAGACAAATGGGGCTCCACCTGCCCAGGGTAGTGTGCTGTGCAGTGCGGCAGCCTGTGGCTTCTTGTACAACTGAAAAACATGTTACAATGACAATTCTTTGGCTCCGGCCCTGGAAATTCTGGATTTCCAAGTCAGGAGAATGTTGCCATCATCTCATAAGTGGCATGTGGTGAATGCCTGAGGGCTCGGAGAACGTGGCCCAGGGTAACAGGTGTCCAAGGTATGTCAGTGGCCCCACAAGGATGAAAGACAGTGCTAAGGCTCAGGGATTCACTTATTTTTCTTATGTTCTCTTCTCCTTGGATACCGCCCAAGCCACTATGACACCTGCAGCCTCGCCCTCTCCAGTTGGACTCACCTGGGGATTTTCTAAAGCACCACTGCTGGGGCCCTGCCCCTGACCCACCTGGATATCCTGGGGTTAGGGCTGAAGGTGGCAGAACACATACAAAGCTCCCCAGTGAGTTCTTATATAATATTTTTATTCTCAACTCTAATCAAGAGTTGAGAATAACCATCTGTGACTATGGTTAGTACAGGGCGAGCTACAATACAAATTGTACATGAATGAGGCAAGTTGTGAAGACATCACCTCACAGAGGCTCCAAGAGCCAGTGTTACTATTGCAATCTGTGTGTACCCTCAGGCTTAAGGCATACCTTTGAAGCTTCTCAGATCTCTACAAAGACACTTCCTTCTTTCCCCTCAGCTTCTGGTCAAATATGCTTTCTTTCTAATTTGGAGCCTCAGGCCTTTGCTTACAAAAATGCACGGCCAAGTCCTTTGTTTGGAAAACTCATTACTTTGCTCTTTCCCTAAAGCCAAGGTTTCCTTTGTCAACACATCCCTGGTCCTGAATCACATTCTTTCTAATCTTTGTGTTTTCTACTTTTCTACAGAGCTCAGAACCTTTCCTCTCAGTAGGAAAGCAGGATAGAGGAGTGGTTCAGAATATGGCTTCAGAGTTAGATCTGAGTTCAAACTCTGGCTGTGCCACTTCTATCATGTGACAGGGTGAATAACCTAGCTATATTCAATTTTCTTATCTTTACAATGGGCATAATGAAATAGACCCTAGGTCCACATGCCACATGTGGGCCGCCAAGGACATTTATCTGGCCCACCAAGGACATTTATCTGGCCCGTCGGGTGTTTTTGCCGCTGCTGCCTGTCTTGCTTAGCAGCTGACTCGTCCTGGGCCCACAGTGCGCATGTGTGGAATGTGCGCCGCACTCTCCAAGGGCCCTCCAGCGGTCTGAGGGACAGCGAACTGGCCTCTGTTTAAAAAATTTGAGGACCCCTGCTAGAGTTGTTGGGAGGATTAAGTGAATGAACTAGCTAGCACCTGACAATACTAAGTGCCCAATAAGCCTCACCTGTCATAACTGTTACCCAGCCCCGCTACACTAAGACCTACTTTCCCTTCATCTTTCTTCACGGAGTGCCAGAGCCTTCCCGGGAGAATGCAACAGAACCTGACTGAATCCCTGCCCTGTGTCGGCCCTTTACATCCACCTCTTGTAACCTCACTGATTTCATGAGGTGAGTATTATTCAACTAACTGCAGGATGAGGAAGCCAAACTTCCAAGAGCGTGGATCAGTGAGGGAACCAAGGCCTGTGTGAGCTCCAGTTGGCTTGCCTTTCTGTGACGCCAGATGCCTACCTAAGGCAGAGTCCCTGGAACATTAGCGTGGGAAAGACTCTTCCTTCGAGTTTCTTCCCTGCTTGCTTGAGCAAAAGACCCCCAGTACCTTTTCCTACTCTTACCTCCATTACTTTAATTTTCACAAGCACATTATAATAGGCTCTTCTTATGGACCGAATATTTGTCCCCTAAAATTCATAAGTTGAAGCCTAATCCCCAATGTGAGGATATTAAGAGGTAGGGCCTTGAGGGAGTGATTAGGTCATGAGGGTGAGCCCTCATGAAAGGGATTAGTGTGTGCCCTTATAAAAGAGGCCAAGAGAGCTCTCACTGCTTCCACCATACGAGGACACATAGAGAAGGCACTGTCTATGAACCAGGAAGTGGCCCTCATCAGACACCAGGTCTGCTGGCACCTTGATCTTGGACTTCTAGCCTCCAGAGCTGACAGGCTTAAACATTTGTTCATTGCTTAAGCAGTGTTATATTTTATTATAGCAGTACAAATGGTCTATGCAGCTCTCCTAGGTTAAAGGCTGCTCAAATGACCTCTGTGTTTTTAGCAAGGAGGTGGAAGATACAGGATGAGAAATAGACGTTCCAAATTTAGAATATTGAGCAAAAAGCCACTAGAGAGTGTTTGTTGTCAAATATAAAACAGATCTTTCTATAAAGACAGAAACTTTCCAGATATATTTCCTCTATTTTTCCAGCATTCTTGACACCATCATTTCATTAAAATATATACATAATGTTATATTGGCCAAATGCCTGTGACCAAACTTAGCTACACAATAAAACTCCTAACCAAGTTCTTACACTGATTATTTACATTCCTAGTAATTTTCACTAAGACCTTATTCTGACTAGCAATATCTTAGCAAATGCTCAATTTCAAAGATCCAATGAAAGCTTTTATATGAGCATCCTTTGTGAAAAACGTTTGCTCACACAGAAAGTGTAATGTCAGTGTCAAAAACTGATGTAAATTATTCCAAATAAGCCAATGTCATTTATGCTTTTTCTTCCTGCTTATAATATAAAGGGAAACTACTGATTGCACAGTTTGTGATGATTTTCCCTGTTACTGGATAGTATTAACAAATTACCACAACATGGGGTAAAATAACTCTCAGGCACACTTAATTACTCTCTGTAATCACTCACCTCATCTCCAAATTTATTTATTTATTTATTTTTGTCTTAGAAAGTCTTCCGGATCATCTCTAAATTTAAGAGCCCTGAGTTATACTAACTTTTCTTCCCCTGACTATTACTGCAATTTATAATGCTAAATCTTAATAGTGAGTAGTAACACCGTTCCTGTCTATGCAAACAATCCCATCCCAAGCTTATTGGCTTACTTATTTTAAAGCTCATGGATCTATTTCAAATCATAACTATTTTTGAGATGAAAACAATCTTAATAATCACTCATCTCTTCTTCTCTATTCCTATCTCCACCCAACACCTTCTCTTTCCTTTTTTGAGCGCAGACATAACTTGCTCAAGGTCACTTACTACACATTGAAGAACAGAGCTAAAACTGGAAATCAGACCTCTTGAAAACTGTTTACTGTCAATCCATTGTTAATTCCATTGCTTTGTTGCTAATTACTAGATTAAGGTAATGAGCTGCATAATGCCATGCATGTAAAGAAATACCATATAACATGTCATATAATAGCTATTCAAGAAATTTTGGCTACTACTACTATTAGTGTTAAGGTATAACATAAACTTGGCTTATGCCTGATTCACAGCTTAATACCATATTGATGGCATTGGCAAACAAGGTATGTAAGTGTCATTTTTAAGATGGAACAGAACCACAAATCCCTCTCAGGGTGAACTGGGTTGCTTAAGGGGTGGTAATATTTGGCACAGGTTGGAAGGGTTTGAGGAGGTGGTTGGGAGGATGTACAGAATTTATAACATTATATTATGTTCCACTACTAATATCAGGCTCTTCATTAAGAAACATATATTTCTTTTATCTTGGTAATATGCTCAAAGAAAGGGGAAAAGGACCACTGAGAATACTCACAATCATGGATTGGTGTCAGCAAAACATCTGTTCTTCTGTTGTGGCGTAAGCGTACTCACACACTCATGATCTGTATGTTAGTTTCTTATATCAAGTGAAGAAGTACTCTGCACAGAGGTGACTTGCAATTACTCTCCGTGCTGAGAAGAATGTGGCCAGGAGGGGGTGATGTGCAGTCCCGTTGTGGACAGTGACAGAACGTGGGAATGGGTGCTTTGGGGAGGCTCGGTTTCAGTATCTTTCACCAATTTTGTTTTTATAATTTAGCAAGTCTAGAATGGGGAAAGTCTTTGGATTCACTGATCCTTGGGGGAGAAAAGAAGTTCCTTCTAAGGGGAAAACAGAACCTGCTGAAGATACCTTTGCTTGCCCTCATCTTCTGCCCATCATGCTGGTCCAGTTCCCTGCACAGTGCTCCATCACAATGACTTACTGCACTGGGCATAAGGGAGTGGGCAGCGAGGGAGGACTAGCTATCATCACCACCAGGCACAGGGCCTGTCCTTTAGTATGTGAGTCAACAAGGAAGTTTGAGAACCACTGGTAGATGATACTAGAATCTCCACCCAATCCAAAATTCTATGGTGCAACCAATATGAGTCAAATCCTAAAATGTAACTGCTGATGTGGGGAACAGAATTAATTTTTATGCATGAGTAAAAGCAAGGACATACTGTCAAAAGGTATGGGTAATCAAATATCCAAAGAAAGCAATGTTTGTGTTTGCAACCATTTTATGAAATTTCTTCAATGTTAGAAAAGTGTCTCCACAGGAACAAGACTGGAGCTATCTTTAAAATATCTTTCCAGCAAGATTCACTCTATTTCTTATGGCATCCCATCCAAATGAGTCTAAAACTGCCTTTCACCCATGAGTTTTTGCTACTTTGGCTTCCAATTCCTTTTCCCACCTCACCCCCTGCATTGCATCATATGGAAAACACACCTAATGTTTAACCATTTTTTTTATATTTGTTTCTTACTTATGTTTTAAGCACATTTCCATGCCAAACCCACAGACGCTTTATTTTGTGTGTGAGAAAATTGTAATCTGACAGATTTCACACTACATTGTTTTTTCAAGCTTGGAAAAACTTTAGCGTTGAGTCCCCTGGGCTCTGTGTCATGCCTTTGAAGTTTCGTGGGGCATATATGTGTCTTAACTATTTGCCAAGTTGCTGTAATTGGGATTTATGCTATATTTGCAGGATATTGCCTTATAATAAAAGCATTTTGCCCAAAGTACAATTTAGCACTGGGTAGATGTGCTGTATTCAAAACTGTGATTTTTGGTGGACAAATTGAGGCCATTTGGAAGTGCCTTCCATTTAACTATCACAGGCATTTTTTTTCCCTGATGTCACCTGTAGGGTTCAAGAGAGAATGTTTTATATTCTATGAATGTTGTAAATTTATGGTCTTTTTCCTTTGCCTGGACACATGTTTACTTCTGAGAGAAATGTGAGAAATGAGCAAGGACCAGGACTCCCAGGACCAGCTGGTCCTCCAGGCTCCTGGGATGCTTCTTATGACAAGACCAGGCTCAACACATAAGCCGCAATACCTTCCCTATCAAGAAGCCCATGATGAGCAGTAGTCAATGTAGGTGCTTCTATTACATGCAAATATAATTTTCCCTAAACTAGCTATAATGCAAATGGGTTTAAATACCTCATTTTAATGTCCTACACAGCTGATAACCAATAAAGCTACAAAGTGAAAAAGAACAATAGCAAGTGAGCAGTTCCCCGATCAATCAGATACTGTCTAAATGTCTTCTGACAGTTCTGTAAGGTGTCTGCTACTGTTTCCAGAACACATGGAGATTTGAGGTGCATAGGACTGGTAAGGGAGGAAGTGGTGAGGCCCACCAGCCCAGGTATGCTGCCTTCAAGTTATTACACTGCCCAACGTCTCAGATATCTGGTGATAATTTTCAAAGGATCAGAAAACCCTAAGGAAAGGGCATGAGTCACAGGGTAGTTCCATTACAGGAACGCATTAATTTATCAGTTTGTCCTTTTATTCAGCAAGTATTTCCTGACTCTGTGTTGAGTACCATTGTCAGTGGTAGGGGTACCCAGATAAATAAGATGCTAACTACTGCTGTCATCCAAGAGCACCACAGTCTAGAGAGAATATTACTCAAATATGGAAGAATGCTTTTAGGAAATTGGCTCTGGTCTATTCAGTCCTTATGCAGATGGTTGTCGAGCATTTCCTGCCATAGAATTTCTTTGCCAGACCACTTCATGCCCTGGTGAACCACAGGTGCGAGGAGAAAAGGATGCCTCACTCCCTGTCTGCTTTGGCCATAGAGCAGCAGAAGTCAGGCCTGAAGGGTTCTGTGGCAGCTCAATGACCCATGTGAGAATCTCACACCCCAGGACAGTAGCTGGCATGCCTGCTCTTGTATTTTAATTTATAGGAAGAGCCCTAAAGACAAGTCTATAAATTATTAACCAAGGAGTTTCATTTTTTACCAGAAAGGTCAGAGAAATCTAAGGAAAAAGACTAAACAATCCATTTTATGGAGGCATGCTGTAACAGGGGAGATGAATAAATCTTCTGTAAGGAAAGTTGTATCTAAACTTAAGATGCTCAAGAAAGAAACAAACACATCTAGAAAAGGAAACAATTAGCAGTACAGGTAAATTGTTTCTATTGGGGGCGGAGTAAAATCTTAAGCTCTTAAATTATATAATGGAAAATAGATATAACTTTCCATAAAATGTCTTTGTAGTGTTATCTGATGAAAAATATAAGCCAAATAGATCATTCTTTAGAATTATCTTTTTTAGAAATACATAACATTTTAATGTGCACATATATTATGGAAATATAGCTCAAAGCAATTTTAGAGAAAGATAATGGTTATCTTTATGAAAAAATTAATGTCTAATAAGTAACTTATTTATTTATCCTATAATACTTTATAAAATTTGTTTTGTGTCATAGAGATAAAACTAACATATGATTTATTATTTTATCCAGATGCATGTTTTTGTCATGCATGTTAGTATCAGAATGGGATTAAAAGGTTTAGAAGGGTAAAATATTGGATCAGTGGCCACATTAACTGGTTCCAAACCCAGTGAATCATTAGAATGGACGTTAGAGCTGTTTCTTTTTTATTCTTGGTAGCAGTAGCCAGGAAGGTGACCACAACATTTTTCCATCAACATTAACTTCAGGTATGATTCTACCATAATTTTAAGTGAAACCTATCCCTTGAATAATAGGTGAGAAAAATCTAGCTCAGTACAAGTAATCTATTTATAGTTTGTAAACAAGTTGCCAAAATATCTAATTTTGACAATAAAAGGATAATTTTATCCCACCTCTCAGAAACCATATGATCAGACAATACTGGAATTGAATCCACTGAGTCACTGTAAAAGGCATTCAGTGTAAACAGATTAGATCTCTTCTCTGAACGAGGCTCACAGCTGCCGCTGTTGCCAGATTCTTCCTGGCAGCTACATTCAGGGGCTGGAGAGCAGATCCTCCAGAGCAGCAAGAAAACATGTCAGACAGCACCCATTCTTCTCGCCCAGTGAATTTAAACTGGGTGTTCAGATTATTGCTCAACTCCTTCCCATCAGTAAGGGCACAGATACACTAGTTGGATATAGAGCAGAATGTGCCTACAGATAGAGAAAATGTTCTTTAATGTGTTTGCCAGCATCAGGATCTGGGATGACTTATAGGGGAAGGAATAAATAAATTCTGAACTGTCATTAGCACCAACAATTCCATAGAATTTTATATCTGGTCAAGGTAAGTGAAAGTGATTAGATTTACCTTCCTGCTTGCAACAACCAAAATTATGTGAAACAGTGATTTGGTAGACACAGCACATCAAGCAGTGAGGATAATAATCTCTGAGGGTTGAAAGAAAAACAAGATAATCCCTAAAATGGCCCAAGCTTACTTCATTCAGAAAGTTTTCAGCAAAAAATTCTTCCCCTAGTGCTAGGATAGAAACCAGGAAGAGTCTGGCAAGTTCTTGGAGTTGAAAATATGTAGCTTGTAGTTGAGGAGTGTTTGGGAAGATCAAGGCAGCTAAATTTGGATGTAGCAAGAGAGAAGTTACTCATCATATACAAGGGATCTTCAATAAGATTGGTTGATTTATCATCAGAAAATTTTCAGGCCAGAGGCAGTGGGTTGATATATTTAAAGTGTTGAAAGAAAAAAAAATGTCAACCAAGAATTCTATATTTGGCAAAACTAAACTTCAAAAATTAAGGGAGAAATTAAGACATTCCAAGATAAACAAAAGCTGAGGAAGTCTTGTCCTGCAAAAAATACTAAAGGGAATCCTTCAGGTTAAAATGAAAGGACAGTAACTTGAAGCTGTGTGAAGAAATAAAGATCTCCCTTAAAGGTAAATACATGGATAATTATAAAAGCTGGTAGTTGTATAATTTGGGTTTGTAACTCCACTAATTTATTTTATTTATTTATTTATTTTGAGACAGAGTCTTGCTTTGTTGCCCAGGCTAGAGTGAGTGCCATGGCATCAGCTTAGCTCACAGCAACCTCAAACTCCTAGGCTCAAGCAATCCTACTGCCTCAGCCTCCCTAGTAGCTGGGACTACAGGCATGCGCCACCATGCCTGGCTAATTTTTTTCTATATATATTAGCTGGCCAATTAATTTCTTTCTATTTATAGTAGAGTTGGGGTCTTGCTCTTGCTCAGGCTGGTTTCGAACTCCTGACCTCGAGCAATCTGCCTATCTCGGACTCCCAGAGTGCTAGGATTATAGGCGGGAGCCACCGTATCTGGCCCACTAATTTATTTTTTATGAGATTTAGTTTGGATGCTTGTGCCCTCTAAATTTCATGTTGAAATTTGATCCCCAATGTTGAAGGTAGGGCCTACTGGGAAGTGTTTGGGTCATGGGGGTAGACCTCACATAAACAGATTAATGCACTCCGGTGGAGGTGGTGGTGAGTGAGTTCTCCCTCAGTTCGTTCCCTCAGAGTTGGTTGTTATAAAGAGCCTGGCATCTTCTCTCTCTCTCTCTCTTCCTCTCTTGATATGTGATCTCTGCACATGTCATCTCTCTTTCCCCTTCCACCATGAGTGGAAGCAGCCTGAGGCCCCCACCAGAAGCAGATGCTGGTGCCATGCTTCTTGTACAGCCTGCAAAAACTTAAGTCAAGTCAACCTCTTTTCTTTATAAGTTATAGTCTCAGATATTCCTTTATAGCAACACAAAGCGGACTAAGACATTATCTTGCTTGTGGTGATGGTTTTGTGGATGTGTTATGTCAAAACTTACTAAACTATACACGTTAGGTATGTGCAGTTAATGATATATCGATTATTCCTCAATAAAACTGTTAAGAAAAATAGTACACTAATTATACCAATAATGAGCAACTATCAAGTTTATGAAATTTTTCAAATTTTCTTAGCAGAAGCTTCTTTAGAGAAACTCTGAAGAGAAAAACAAAGCATCTTGGTTCACATTTTCAGAGCTGATCTCTCATCCTTGAGTCATGATTACTTGGAACTAAAAAGCAGATACAATAGCAGAAGTTACTGTATAAGCAACATTTTGAACTTTAACAATCCAAGCAGTTATGAGGCAATATGTTTCAGTATATTTATTCTCAAAATACTTCATGAGGCATCCAAATTGGCTTATCTACAATTGAACTGAAAAATTAATGAGGTGTTGCTGTGATCAATTGAAATTCAGAATGTAGATGAGTATCATAACTCCAACAAACAAGATGATCATACTTTGCAATAAAATGTCTGACTGAATACTTTTTTTGTTCTAAAATGCCTTTTCTCAAAAGATCTCTTTAGATTTCATTTTTAATACACTGTTATCTTAACTTGAACAGTCAATCTTTCAAGAAAGAAATTTAATGTCACAAAAAATTCTAATGTCACTAATTTACTATTAATTTTTAAAGCTGAAAGAACCTCAATGTATCATCCAGGTATAGTTTGTGGTATTTCCATAAATAACAACCATTTGGAGAAAATTGAGAAAAAAACATAATTGTGAACTATGCCTAATCTTTATTCCCCTTCTTATTTTGAAAGACTAAATGTAAAAAGTGTCATTTTTTTCACTTAGCAAGTTTTCACTGGGGCCCAGGGAGTGCTGGACATGGTAGCAGATACGGAGGGAACACAAAGATAAATGCAATTCGAGTTGCCAGGCGAACCCTCTGGCAGTGTTCCTTGCCAAGATCTAAATGCTATGAATCCAAAAGGACTAGCTCAGTCCACACCCATTAGATCCAGACCAATTGGCGAATCCTGACATTATGCCTACAGATGTCTCTCATATGGCTCAGACTGCTGAGCTCCTGGACCTCTGTGTGAGAAAGGACAAAAGCTGATTTGCCACAAAATTGTTAAGCAACTGAGTAGAAGGAAGGGATTGTTTATAAATATTCTAGGAAGGCGAGGAAGCATTGATTACATGGGCTCACTATTTTATGAAGGTGATTCTGCTCATTTTGCTTGTAAGGGCACAAGTTAGGGGTCAGATAGAATTGAGCTTAAATCCTGATTCTGTCATTTAACCACTTCGGTTCGAGCTCGACTATAGTCGACAGCCACACATGAACACACACAGCGACTTTGGCCGACAGCCGTGATATGACTTTTCTAATTTGTCATTTATCAAAATAAAATTGTGAACATTTAAAAATAACATAATGAAAACATATATGTATATGTTACCTATTCTGATTTACATGACAAGTAAAGCTGCCTGTAAAGTAGAACAAGCGTTCAGTGCTTTCAAGCTTTCCTCGTCACACAAGAGCAAAACGGACCCGCCGTCAATGCGCAGCGCAGACCACCGTGCGGACTGTGAGTGCGGCTGCGGCGAGGTGTCGCGGCCGGTGAGTGCTGAACTGAAGTGGTTTTAATAGACATATGTCTTTGACATGTTATTTAACGTCTGTAGTTTCAGTTTTGTTTTTTATAAAATGAACATAAAAATAACAGTCCCTACTTCATTTTGTTATTATGAGAATTAAATAAGAAATACAGTGCACTAGCACAGTGACTCATACAAAGTAACTGACTAAAAAATGATAGGAATTTCTAACTCAGGTCACAGCACCTAAAATTATATTGTCTAAAACCAAAATTCATGTTTGAACTCAAAGTTTAAAAATAAGATATGTGACAAACTACACTTATCATGTTATCAAAATTCTAATCAAATGCTGAATAACTAATTAACTATTAGGACAAATTTATTTAAGAAACACCTCCTCACAGTTCTTAATATGTGCCAGGTATTGTTTTAAGAATATTAACTCATTTCATATTCATAAAAAGCCTATGGGCCAGGCGCAGTGGCTCACACCTGTAATCCTAGCACTCTGGGAGGCCAAGGCAGGCGGATTGCTCGAGGTCAGGAGTTCAAAACTAGCCTGAGCAAGAGCGAGACCCCGTCTCTACTATAAAGTAGAAAGAAATTAATTGGCCAACTAATGTATATAGAAAAAATTAGCTGGGCATGGTGGCGCATGCCTATAGTCCCAGCTACTCAGGAGGCTGAGGCAGTAGGATTGCCTGAGCCCAGAAGTTTGAGGTTGCTGTGAGCTAGGTTGATGCCACGGCACTCACTCTAGCCTGGGCAACAAAGAGAGACTCTGTCTCAAAAAAAAAAATTTTAAAAAAGCCTATGGGGAAGGTACTATTATTATTATACTTATCCCCATTGTATGTGTGTATATTAAATTGTACATGTTAGGCCAGGCTCAGTGGCTCATGCCTGTAATCCTAGCACTCTGGGAGGACAAGGCTGGAGGATCACTTGAGGTCAGGAGTTTGAGACCAGCCTGAGTAAGAGCAAGACTTCATTGCTACAAGAAAATAGAAAAATTAGCTGAGTTTGGTTGCACATGTCTTTAGTCCTAGCTACTCCAGAGGGTGACGCAAGGAGGATTGCTTGAGGCCAGGAGTTTGAGGTTGCTGTGAGCTATGATGATACCACTGCACTCTAGCACTCTAGCCTGGGTGACAGAGCAAGACCCTGTCTCAAAATAAATAAATAGTACACTTTACGTACAATTTACTATATGTCAATTATACCTCAATAAAGCTGTTAATAAAAACAGTGCACTAATTCTGCCAATAATGAATAACTAGCAGGTTTTGAAAACATTTGTCAAATTTTCTTAATAGAAAGCTCCTTTAGAAAAAACTTGGAAGAGGAAAACAAAGCATCTTGGTTCACATTTTCAAAGCTAATCTCTTAACTTCATTGGCAGCTCACTGGTCTGGAGACACACACACACACACACACACACACACAACTTCAACTTAGTTTTGTTTAGGAATATATTTTGTTTTATATCGAGAATACTAAGAAACAGAATTAAGTACTAGATTTTTCCAGAGACAAGACTAAGTTTTTGTATCAGTAATACAATGATGTTGGTGAGACTTTTAAGAGAAGACAAAATAAGAGTTATTTTGTTGGATTTAGTTTTACTAAACTACCACATGCTACATAAATTGAAAATCAGTAGATACAGAAAAACATCATGACTTAACCCCCACATGTAACAGTTTATTTAACAAAAAATCACACTGTGTATGCTTTTTACACAAAAAACTTCAAAAAGAAAATAGAACTAACATTTCTTGATTGATGCCTACTTACCAGCACTGGCAGCCCATGGTGTACACTATCTCACTAATACTCACCATTCCACACCACTCTGGGGCAGCTATATTAGTTCCGTTTTTAAGACTAAGACCCCCAAATTAAGAAATATTACCCAAAGTCCCTCAACTATAGAAAGCAAACCTAGTGTCTGAAAAACATATTAAATATGAACTGAAATCTCTAATGTCTTCAAAAGTGAAAGCTACTTACTACTTTACCCATGTTTATTTTAGCCATGAGGGATAAGGCTATTTTTGAGTTTCCTAAATAAATAAATTCAAAACCATCATTTTCCTAAAGCAAAAACTAAATATTTGCCAACACTACACTTAAGGAACCTTGGCTACATACCTTGCTTAGTTTCTAAGCTGAGCTTGAAGTTCAGTAATCACTAGACAAGGACCACAGACCAGGGCAGTGGAAGGGCAGTGGGTGTATAAAAATTGACAGTGATCTTTTTGAAAAATAATTTGTCCATTCATCTTACAGCCAGTGGCCACATCTGGGGCTTGGATTTTAGGAGAAGCAAGCATTACATTATTTTGATACAGAAGGAGATAAAATACAAGGGTTTTAGGAAACAGAGTGAGAAAACAAGATTGAGCTCGGAGTTCCTGAGAGCCCAAAGTGTGATCAGTGGTGTTAGATCCTGAGAGTACCGAAGCAAAAAGGGGCCCATGGAAGCACTCAAGAACCATGACCTAGTGGGGCAGACACATGCATGAACAGATTACTATATTACTATAGAATACTATACTATATATTACTATATACAGCAGATGCTAGGAAACAAGCTTGCATAGGGTAATTGCCTAGGAGACAATTCTTGTTCCTCAGAGAAGGAACATGGAAGGCTCCAGAAATAGATGCTCGAGGTAGGATTTGAGGGAAGACAAGGAGTCAGTGAGATCGGTAAGCAGACAAGGACATTTCCAGGGAAGGAAACAGTACAAGGGGTGGAATAGGTTTATGAGCTCAGGGAACTACAAGTGTTCCCTGAGATGAGGCTAGAACTGTTAGAAATGGGGAAGTGAGTTTGAGTAATAAAAATGTTTGATGGCTACAATAATAAAAAACAGTGCCTGTTTTATAAGCACCCTCCACATTGCCAAGCATTTGGTATACATTCTCTCATATAATACAATGCTCCCACTCTGAGCCAGGCTGTATTTTCATTCGGATTTTAGAGCTAAGTAAACAGAGGTACCAAGAGTTTAAATAAGGATTTGCCCAGATGCTCTGCCTAGAAAGTAGCAGGGTCAAGACTCAAATCCTGGCTGTTGGACTCCAGAAAATGAGCTCATGAGCATTAGTATAATCCTCTTAAGATCATATTATCAAGAGAATGGAGCCCATTTGACCCCTGATGGCCAGGATGGCAGCAGGTGGACAGAGTGGCCCTGACCTGTGGGCAGGTGTCTGCAGGTGAGCAGCTCTCCTAGCTATGGGCCCTCTGTAATGAGTTACAGAATTTGGTCAATTGAGGGTCATTCTAGGTGCCCACAGAGGTGGGCGCCTAGAATAAGGCATCTTCTCCATGAAAACTGAAAGGGAGACTCCTCCTGGGAGATGCCCTCAATAGGCAAAAGGAGAGAAATCTGGTCCACAACATGTAATCCAGGCTGAAATTCTGGAAAGGGCAGACAGACAACCTGGGCAAAGATGGGCTTGTGTGGTCAGAAGCTGCAGCTGCTTCAGTCACAATGTCAAGTGTGGCTGGGCAGGACACCCCATTGCCCTGGGATCCTGGGTCCATACGATGTTCACATCTGCCCCCAAGTGATCACAAGGTCCAAATGGATTCAAGGTTCAAGTATTTAAGTTCTCCTGATTTTCCATTTATTGACGTGTGGAAAGTGAATTAATTTTTCTTTTGGCTCCTATTTTCCACCTTTCAGATAAGCACAAGTTAACTTTGAATGAGACCTGTCGAAAAAGTCACTTAATCACAAAGAATCTTTTCAAAATGAAACTAACAGTTGGCTTCTCATTATTATCACCCCCCACCTTTAATTAAATTTCAGTAGAGATTACTGTCAGTACCATCTTTTAACCAAAAGGTGAAGAGAAAGTGTTAACTTGGTTAATTTACATTCCTTAGCATTAAAATGACATCCT